TGAAGTATCGAAATAACGAACGAAAGATGTAAACATAGGACGACGGAAGTTTCAAATAATGCATTTTCGTCGTGACGTCAATGTTACGTTACGACGCCGATCGAGCGTCTTATCTTCACGCAACGACGTGATTACGTCATCCGCATCGGAAGCCTCTTTCTCTCTGTGCGTCGCGGTTACGCAGTGAAGAAAATGACTGTCCGAAGTTAGGGGCAGTGAAGGATAACGGTCAGATGACAAGAAATATCGATTATTTCAATAGTAAAAATAGTCCAATTGAACCGAAATTTGCAGGGAATGTAACTTACCGCACGAATGTTTTACCGAGCAATTTTGGCACAGTTTGGACAATAAATGGCCGAGTTATTGAAGAGAATATAGTAATTTTGTCCGAAGTTAGGCGCGTTTACGGTACCGAGATACACGTCATGTAGAACGCAGAATTCCATCAAATACGTGGGTGTAAAGTTATGGAATAATATATCAGGTGAAATGAGATCACTATCCTATCATGGTTTTAAAAGGGAACTAAAAAAGAAATACATTGATGACTACCGTACCTTTCTTTGAATTGATCACCAAAGAATCACCTACCGGTACCGGTACGGTACCTATACGGTACTACCGGTACTGCGCTTCTTTGCAACTGACCTGAGTACTTGATTAAGTCTATATTATTAAGCCATGTCATCGGTTTACCTGTCCGCTGGGTTAAATATTCGAATCCTGTCCCTTTACTCTGTCGCAGCCAAATTGACTATAAAGTGTTATAGTCACTTTGGTCGCAGCGTATCAATAACGTACGGTTATTCTGCTCTGCCAAACAAAGCGCAGCTCTGCGAACGAATCAGATGTGCGTGGAGTCGTAATTTTTGAAAACCAAATTTTGGTTAAAGACCTTGCGTACATCATGTCAGGGGATACTGAAAGATTCAGTCTAAAGGGAATTATAGTTAATCGTTATATTTATTTTACTTCACATCGATTTATAACATATTTTATGTCTTTTCGTGCAACTGTTTAATTCATACAGTGCATTTCATCTTTTATGAATTTGGTCACTGATTTAAATAATAAAAAACTGCTCGTAACCAGGATGTTATGTTTTTTTTTATTTCAAATACTTATGATGGATATTTGGTATTTTTTGTTTCTGAAAATGTTCTTTTTTTTCTTCAAAATTATTTATTTTTGAAATGTTTTGGTGTTTCATTAACTTTTAAGCTATTAACCTGAATCAACAAGCGTTTAGGTGTCGCTGCCTGAAGACCTTTGAGGTCCCTCGCGACTCCTGTCACACAATTTAAGTTAATTTCCACTTGTTGGACACGAAGTGGACATAACGATCGTTTCAATATTATGTTGTTGTTGTTCTTGTTCTTTGACACGTTTTTAAAAAGTCGCTTTTCTCTTCGAATACTGGACCAATTGCTTTGAAATTTTCAGTGGTTAAAGATTCATTTTTTCGCTAGAATGCTATTACTTTTATTTATTTCAAAATTTTGCGTGAATTCTATGAAATTTGATATTTCGTCTAAAATTTTGCTGTATTATTTTTTATCCACGGGAACACGGATTTTAGTCAATGTCATGACTGGCTGTACGTTTTGATTCTGCAAAATTCTTGCTACTGGAAATTCAGAACTTTTTTGAGGGTACCGGTAGCGTCAAAGGTACCGGTAAGGACTGATTCGCTCTGGTCTAACGTGTCCATATATTGTGCGTAGCTCTCTTGTATTTGTAATATTTTTTCATATATCATACCATGTTTAAATTGTGTTGACGAATAAATGATGATTGATTGATTGAATCGATCACATTCTTTGGACCTAAAGTATGGAACCCATTGCCTAATGGACCTTTCCCCGACCTTTGACCCCCGGAAAATTCTTCCTATACTTTACCATTGCAGAATTTTCAGGGCTATTTTAGGAGTGCTTTTGCGAGTTGGCGCCTGTAAAATGGGGTATGTGTTTCAAACCATCATTAGGATTCATCGCACACAACAATCTGTTTTTTAAAAGTACCGGTAAAGAATTTCAGGCTAGTCTATCACAGCTATTTCTACACTAATTTTTATTACTGCAATTAAATTAAAACTCCTGAGAAGACAGAGTGATCATTGAATTATCTGATTTTTATTCAAGTTTCCGAAACACAACTGAAAACTAACGAATAGAGTTCAAAAATGCGAAAACGAGGTCATGTTTACAACCACGCTTGAAAATCTGTCTGAGTGAGAAAAGTGTCTGAGCGGATGCGAAAAGGGGGCATTGTTACGTCAATTTTGGCATCTTGGTGATTGGCCAACGTCACGGAATAAACAAGGAAGTCGATGCTCGGGGAAAGGTCCATAGTATTAAAAGCTCGAAAATGACGTTCGAATTTAGATCCAAGCTTAAGATACATTTATTGGAATTCTATTAGATTTAGTGAGTTAAGGAAGATCAAAAAGGTACATAGAAGATGAGAAAAGAACTACAGAGATGAAAAATACCCCCAATCGATTAACAATGTCATCATGCAACAAATCTCCATTGATCGGAAAACAAGTTTCGAGTCCCCCACGGATCTATTGTCTCTCTTTCCCGCTTAGTTTTATTGTTTATTTACTTCCTTCACTGGATCGTCAATAATGCAAACTAGATCATTCAATAAAAATTTATAATTATCATGCTGAGACATGGCGACAATGAATTTCACACAATAGCGCTTATGAAAGTGGCCTCATTTTATGCCAGACTCTCTATTGTTCCCATATCTTTGGTCCAGTGCAAACTATGATTAACAACTCAAGTTTAAACAGAGGTTTTCTACATTTATCTTTTACAATTTTTTTTTCGTGTCGTAGCCTCATCCAACGTTGGTTTCCGGTATAGGGCAACAAAGATTCGACCCTATCTGCGTGTCCACACTCCCGTGTTATTGAACACACGTTAACAGAGTGTAACTCCGATCTTGACTCCTTCAGAGGTCAAAAAGCACACAATGTATTGAATGCCAATTGTTATATTGTAGAGTTGCACAATCGAATTGATCCAAATAACGAATCACACTTGAAACCTTAAAGCAAGTATATGTGATGAAACCAAATTTCTAACTAACAAAGAACGGCAAAGACAAGCTACACTGAGCGAGAAAAATATATCATAAAGGAAATGAATTGGGACAACGACCTTGTTTCAGGCAAATAACATGCACTACTAACAATAAGTGGTGAAAATATTAAAATACACAGTAACTATCCTTATGTACTTGCTACACCGGCAAGTTTATATCCCGAACAAATTTTTACGCGTTTCGTGGGACTTAGTGTAAAAACATATCAATTCAGCGACCCATACCCTATCTCCATCTTTTCAAACCGGAACCTGGGATATGGACGTGCCATAAACTGACTATTGTACATATCGCCGTTGTGCCGTACCTCTTTATCTTGTGTATTTTACTAGAGTTTTGTTTGTATATTTCATGTCTGTTGTCCTAGTACCGGTACAGCGTTTCCCCAACCTTTTTTGGTCGCGGACTATTTTCTCACCAGCGGAAGTCTTCGCGGACTCAAGGCGCGTCAATTGTGTAACGGAACTCTATGTGAAGAAGCAATAAAACCAAAAACAACAGATTTTTAAAGAAATCAGATTATTAACCACAGTTACAAATTTCAATGGGAACCTTGTCCCTGAACTTGCACTACTAGTTTGTCGAAATCAGGGCCTATATTCGTCAACGCACATCTAATGTCATCTTCTGGTTGCAGTTGATTACGATACTTGGTTTTTATCATAGTAAGGGCTGAAAATCCAGCCTCGCAAAGATAAGTTGTTGGAAAGGGTAAAAGCTTTCGTTGCCTGCCAACAGAGATCAGATAGATTTGGTTCTCTTGTTTGTACTTCCGCCCAAAATTGTGTGAGAGAAACATTTTTAAATTTGTTTCTCCATATCTGTCGACTTTGCAACTCAACCAGTTGTTCAGCAATGCAGTCCGTTTCTGGGTGAACCTGTAGGGCTGACATCTCGAAAGGACATCAAACCCAGTTAAACGTTCTGTAATCTGCTATAATCGTGCGAAGGGATATATCTATCCAACTCGGAAAGAAATGAAGAAAGATGCTCGAGAAATATTGGACGGATGTTGTGGAAATTAAATTCTTCATCTTCTGCAAATGCGTTTAAAGTCGGAAACGCGGCTATCTTTCCATGTTCCATTCGATGCACCCACAACTCCATTTTAGCTTTAAATGCGACAATGTCCTCTGACACATCCAAAAATATTTTGTTTGATCCTTGCATAGAGGTGTTTAGTTGATTTAAATGGTTGAAGAAATCTGCTAAGAATAACAACTTTGCAATCCACTCGTTATCGCTGAATCGCTTTAAAAGTTCATGCTTCTGTTCTTTTAAAAAAGCACCGACTTCACTGCGTAAGTTAGCTACTCTTTCCAGCACTCTTCTCGCGATAGCCAACGGACGTTCGAATGATACAGAAGTCCACCGTGTTCAGCTCCCATTTCGTCACAAAACACGCGAAATAAACGAGTGCACAAGGGGCGGGATTTTATGTAATTAACAACAGATACAACCTTCTGGAACACCGAAGCCAGATTTTCTTGAATCTCTTTTGCTGCCAAGTTTTCTCTGTGAAGATAACAATGAACAATTAAAATGTCATTATTTTCCTTTTTCACGAAACTCATAAAACCTTTTTTAATACCCATCATTGATGGAGCCCCATCAGCACAAGCAGACACGCAATCAGTCCACGAAAGCTGATGCTTTTGAAAGAAAGAATCCACTTTTTTAAATATTTCTTCTCCCGTGGTATTTTTGGAAAGCGGACGACAAAAGAGGAAATGTTCCACATAGTCGTCGGCTGCACGACAACGTACAAACACCATAAGTTGTGCATCGTTCCCTATATCGGTTGTCTCATCCAACTGCAGGCTAAATTTTGCACTTCGCTTTACAGCAGCAATAGTCTGCTGTAAAATATCGACTGATAGTTATTCTATTCGTCTTTTGATTGTGTTGTCTGACAACGGAACCATTGCCAGTTTATTGGCAATGGCCTCACCGCACATTATTCTGGCCATTTCAACGGCTGCTGGCTTAACCAACTTTTCTCCTGTTGTATGAAGAGCTTTTGCTCTAGCAATTTTCCATGCAACTGAAAAGGAAGCCCGCACTGCATCTTTATGAGGGTAGGTTACTCCTCCCAAAATACTTGGACGATCAATGCGAGTTCTTTTGACATGCAGTTCTTTTCTCAAAAAAAATTCATGATCTTTATCACAGTATGTTGCATGTTTTAACTCAAGATATCGTTGAAGTTTAGTTTCTTCCAAAGAGCTGTGAGCTAACACTTTCAAACACAACACACATTGTGGTCTGACTTCGCCATTTATTTCAACTGATGTAAATTCAAGCTTTAAAAAGTTTGCGTTATATGAAAATACTTGTTTTCGTTTTGCCATTATAAACCGAGAAAGCGCAGTTCTACTTTCATCCTCGTGATCCTGGCCGTGGGAGAGTTAAATGGCAAACGAGAGCACAGACGAATATATTCAAATATATTCATATTCAAATAGTTCAATGTCAAAATATATACTTTGCCCAGCCCTACTCAGTAACCAGTGATTATTGACTCGATTAATCGTATGTGAATAAACTTTATTTTGTTGTTTCATGTAAATACCAACGTAAATCGTAACTTGGATGGTACTTAAGTTTGGTGAAAAACGTTTGCGAATTTCGCGAAACTAAAAACGTTAGTGACCTACATGAAATTTACTACTACATAACTTTCTAATTTGGTCGTTGCGGACTCATTTTAAAGCTCCGCGGACTCATTTGGGACCGCGGACTCGGGTTGGAAAACACTGTCCTAGTATAACGCAGCAGTCCTGAACTGCTGTTATTATTGTTAGGGGTCAATGTCGCACATCTGTGTCTTAGGCCAGTGAGGTCTTGAACATGTATCCCGTCTCTGTTTTACTGTTTAATCATTATGCAGATACTGTTACATTTTTGAGGCAAATAAACATACGTTTCAAGTAAAAATGTCATTTTTTTTTCCATCGCTAGAAGTCGCTATTGAGTCAAAAAGTAATCAGTTGGAATGTGTTATTGTTTGCGGCAATCTGCGAATATCTTTGCAAACTGTGCGGCATTCGTAAAGTCTCTGATAACGTCACGCATCAGGAATATGTCATCGTTAATATGGTAAGTTCTTCGATTGTCAGAATGCAAGCCTCTTAATAGTTTGATACTGCTACTGACCTCAATTTTATTCTTGGCATCAATTCAGAGCCTTATAGAACATAGTATACCGGTAACACTTCAAATTTGAACTTACCGTAAATTCTAATATATAAAATAAAAAAAATGTCGGGTCTGGTATAGTTTAGTACCACATCCACTTCTAGTTGGCCTGGCTCAACTTTTTTTGCATATCTCAATCCTAACCCCCATCTGACTACGTCACCGAAAAATTACGTCATTTCGACGTCACAGTGGCGTAATAAGGCCCACTGAAGTATGCGGATGGTCGTCCAAAACGCGCAGACGATAACCCGAAATCGAGCAAGCTATTTCTCTTGTTTTCTCGTCGCGATGATCACGATAGGAGAGGGATCGCCGGCTTTAGCAAGTTCTTATCGGCGGCGCAGATGCCATTTCGGGCGATCGTAATTATACTTTGGCAATCCCTATGACGTGATGGTGACGTCGTAGTGACGTAATTTTTGGATGCCATAGTCAGGTGAGGGTTAGGAATAACATATGCAAAAATTGTTATGCTACACCCACTGGAAGTACTTGTGGTACTAAACTATACTAGACCCAAAATGTCTTCCAATGTGAATTTTTATGCTTCCGAAAACAAATAACCGTCAACTAATCCCATACCCCACATGAACTGGTATCCGGATGAGAGGCTATGGTTCGCCATATGATTAAGCTGTCATGGCTTTCTTCTCCCCTGGGATAAATGTGTAAATCCTAGTCGTAGCCTACTGTTTATGTTATTGGACCGAGTGAAAGTAGCCTATCATAAACAGATGCAGGAAACAGATGGATCCTCACCGACTTATACCGGTAACAGGGAATCGGATTTGCTAAATTTCTGTTTTGGAGGATCCCTAAGGTCGATGAGTCTTACTCACACTAATTGAACTTTTTTTTCGAAGTGCTGATGATGTTGAATATATTCTGTTCTAATGAACACATTTCATTACCATGAAAACAATTGCGGCTCTTCCATGCTCAACAAGAATTATTCATTTATTCCTTGTAAATATTTATCAATCATTTCATGGTTTTGCTTCTCACTACACCCAGCTTAAGTGATTCTTTTCCACAGCAAACTGGGGTCCGCAGCGATACAAAGAGTCTAGAATAGCCATTTAATACCTATATAGGCTACATTATCAAGCAAAAATAATCCCGGGGTTTTCAACAAAATCCCACACAGTAAAAAAGCTCCCCATCAAAAATATTTCTTCATAGTAACAATTTAAAATCATACACAGAATTAAAGTTTACAGACAATAAAACAAATTTTTAAAATTACATAGGCTCATTCAGTAAGTGGGGGTAATATTCGCAAAACAAGAAAAACTAAACAAAAAAAAATCACTGGGGGAACACTATGATTCTATGAAAATATATACAAGCCTGAAGCTTCAAAATCTTTTCGAATATGAGACATCGAATATATTCTGTTCCAGAAGAGAATATATTTGAGACAATGGTAAACTTGGTTATGCAGAATAATTGGCATAAACATTGTTTTATTTAGTATTCTCTATTTTATTCTGTCAGGAGTTAACAAGTCAAGTTTATTTTATCCAACCAGTAAAAAAAAATCACATACAATATTTAAAAAAGAGGCAATCATACAATTTTACTTTGGAAGTAAAGCCGCAGGGAACCAAATCTGGTTATCGAGCATGGACACCCAAGGTTCTAATATCTAGTTAAAAAGATTGAGTAATTTAATTATAGAAATACTGTTATTGGCGGTGAGTAACGTATGGTTTTGCCGATTACCGAAACTAATTTTTTGTCTATGATAGAAAATAAATATTTAATAAGAAAATTTCAAATCAAAATATTCTACATTCCTGAAATCAACAATTTACTGAATCGAATATTACCAATTTTGGTACTCTGAAAGTATGTGAACCAAAATGGCAGACTCTAGAATGTAGTATGTGTACCAGGTCAGGGTTAGACCATAATTTCAGGTACAAATACTACAGGAGTCACTTGGCTAGTCCCCGAACTCGTAATAGAACTGAAATAAGGAAAATTGGACTGAATTTATGGCCTAACCTGCTACACATACTTCGTTCCGGTGTCCAAAATGTTGGATCACATACTACGGGAGTACCTCAATCTCAAATGCATTGAAATATTCAATTTGTTTTGGACATCCCTGATCATTGCAATTGGCGCGTACTGGCCAGGGCTGGGTCGCGGTTTAAAATCACAGTGGCTTCACAGCCACACTATATTCAAACCGTTTGATCGGGGCTAGGCAAGGTTTTTGAACCATCGGCCAAAAATTTTGTCCATGTAGACTGGCGGGTCATGGAAGTGTGACGTGAAAAGGTACATTTTATGAACAATATTTTCAGTGTTACCAAAGTGGAAAACAATAAACCTCGAGCTAAAACCAAATTTAACCACAATCTTAACAAATTCATTGAGCTATTTTTTAGCTGAAACAATGGAATTTGGTTTTACCTTGGTTGTGGCAGCATCAGGCGGTCCAGATTCGATCACCAAACAGGCTGAATTTGGCCCAGGGGCCGTAGTTTGTCAATGTCAGCGTTAGAAGGTCAAGAGCTGGAGCAACTACAATTTTTGATAGCTCCAGCTCCGTCTAATAGTAAGCTCAGCTCAACCAAAATGTCATTGCCCCATCTCCCCAGTCCTGATACAGACCCAAAATGGAAGATTCATTCATATAAAATATTGGCAAGAAAAAAGGGTGCGCCCGAAGTATGTGAACCAAAAGGGCGGATACCGGAATGTAGTGTGTGTACCAGGTTAGGGTTAGGCCATAATTTCAGGTACAAATACTACGGGAGTCACTTGGGTAGTCTCCAAACTCGTAATAGAACTAGAATAAGGGAAATTGGAATGAAATTATGGCCTAGCCCTAACCTGATGCACATACTACGTTACGGTGTCCACCATCTTGGTTTGCATGCTACACGAGTACCTAAAAAAAAACTACATTGTTATGTTATATTTGTTCTTATTTTTTTAAACTTTATTACAGATAGTCGTCTGCAAATACAAATGTCATGGGATTGAATCATCAATGGGGTGGTGAATGCACATTCTCCACAGCTTTCGAAAAATCGTGAAACAATGACAAATCTGAATCATGGCATGTCTTCCACGAGGCAAGAAATAGTTGAAGAATCCGTACAAGATGAAAATGGCAGCGACGAGAATGATCAAAAAGGTGAGACCATCTTGGTATTCACTTTGCACTGAACCTTCATATTCTCTGGGTCCAGCTTGGAGTTTTCGACTAGAAAAATTGTACATGTTAGTTAAAGTGTAATATATTTAGGTTAGAATTTTTGGTATGGTGCTCCCGTAGTGTGTGTACCAGGTTAGGTTAGGCCATAGTTTTATTCAGATTTTTCTTTTATGCTTCTATTGTGAGTTCGAGGACTGTTTGTGTTAGCAAAGTAAATATACAACTCTGCCCATAAGTTTCAGTTTCCTTACACAACTTGATGTAAAGTAGGAGAACAAAATTAGTTCCCTCCGTTTTGCTGCTCACACTTCAGGAGCGCCGATTAATGTGTATTATGTTTAGGATAAAATTTTTAATGTTTACAATTATACATGTGATTTTCTAAATGTAGTTGTCTTTTTGTTGAGGTGACTGTTTTGATGGACTAAAAAAAACACTTTTTCTACACTTAATGGCTCAATCAATTTTAAATTTTCTGTAACTAAAATATTATTCGCGCCTTTCGAACTGAACACGACTTTCTATGAGGAGCTACGGATATCTAACGATAGGATAGGATTTACATATTTATCCTGGGGGAAAGGAAATACGATAAGACAGCTTATGCATATGGCGAACCACGTCCTCTCGTCCGGTTACCATTCCATGTCGGGTATGGGATTAGTTAGTTACTGCATTGTTTGTTTTCGGAAGCGTGGACTTGGTGGTGGAGGAAGCCGTAACCGACCAGCGGTTACGTGAACCACCCAACGACAGCGAGGAGTCCAGCAATCCTCTCGCACATAACCATCCCTGCATGGGATTCGAACCTGCGAACCCATGCAGAGTAATTAGAGGTGCGGTGGCGAGCGTATTTCTAACGCTTAGCCCGTTGAGCCACATCGCCGAGCCGATGCGCAATGATCTGGTAACTTTGACTGATAGACTGTAATGTTTTCAGTTCGAATTATTATTACCTAAATTATTGCACCCTGGATGCAGTTGTGAGGTAGGTGCCTGTGGCCTTGTTTTGAAACTGGAATTGTAGGTAATCAGGATTTGGCCATCTTAGTTCTATTTATAATAAGATTGTCATATTTTTTATACATTGAGGAGGAAAGTAGATAAGATGACGCTCCAGAAGTGTGTGTACCAATATGGAGGTGACTAATTTTGTTCGCCAGTTTCACATCAGGTTGTGTAAAGGGACTGAAGCATATGGGCAGGGGGGATTTTCACTTGGCTAACACAGACAGTTCCGAACTCGTAATGGAAATAAAATAAGGAAAATCGAAATAAAATTATAGCCTGATCTGATTACCAGTCCATGTTAAGTATGTCAATTTAAATATGTTGCCGAGTTACAGATCTCAGAGCCAAGCAATGTCCGTCCCCTCATCCAGGGTGCAATAAACTGGTTAGGCAATGCCGAACCGAAAATATTCTATGTTCTTTTAGTATTAAATTTTTAATTATCAGTCGCTACTCCTCCAGGTCATTGTTTGGGGTGAAAAAGGAAAATAATACCTTTTAACAAGTCATTATAGTAAGCCCCATCTTGAAAAAGGAGCAGGTTTGAAAAAAAGAGGAAAATATGTACTTTTGATATTTAAACTCCTATAACTGATTATTGCTTCAAAAATGCGGGTGTGGCTTGCACATAACACCAGCTGAAGATCCATCAAAGATTATATAAATAAAGTACTTTCATGCATAATGAATAAAAAGTGTTCCAAAATGGAAAGGAGAGGAATTAAATGAAAAAGGTTTGTTTGAAACCACTGGCTTACCTTATGAATTTAGCTTTTTCCTTTTCATAACAGTACATGTCGCTAATATTGAGTGAAATCAGGCCTTGTGGGCATTTGCAACAAGTTAGATTCTGGTTATTATAGTAATTTTCTGGACATCCTTGCTGCTGATGCTCTTCATAGCATTGACTCTGAATTAGAAAAATTAGAGTTGAAACCTGGTGCGGTGTCGTTTTGTTTTTAATTTACAATTATTAGAAGCGACTCCTGATCAAAGGAAGGCATAAATATATTGAAAAAGGTTGAGAATCACTGTTTTAGACCATGTACCTTGTAAGTAGCGAGTTGGGGTCCCCTAACTAATATTATTTTTTAGTAATTTTCTGGCATAGTGTCGCATTGTTAGAGATACATTTACCATTGAATGTCTGACTACCCTGCGTGTGTTCGAATACCATAGGGCAGTGGTTCCCAGACTGAAGGGGTAATTTGTCAATTTTTCGGGAGGATAAACCAGACATTCACTGTTTTAACAATTTCTTTTGTAATGCCTTTACATTTGACCAGTCTGCGGAAAAGCTGGACATTCAATGCTCACATATATTCACGCACATAGTCACACGCATATAGTCACGCACTTCGTAGGGACCTAATAACGATACTTCACTATACAAATTGTGGGCTAAAAGGATGAGCTAGTGCAGGCAAAGCATTCTAAATGGGAATATGCAATGGGTGTTAGTATTATTGCCATTTTTAGTCAAAGTAAAAATGATAATCATATGACTACGGTATTTCATGGAAGAAGTAATCAAGCTTTTGGTAATTCAGGTAATTCGATTTAAAGGTATTGGAAAGTTCAGGATACCTCTGCCATAGAAGATAATTATGTGAGAGAGGATTGCTGAAATCTTTGCCATTATATAGGATAGGATTTACATATTTATCCCGGGGCAGAGGAAAGTCGATAAGACGGCTTATCCATATGGTGAACCACGGTCTCTCGTCCTGTTACCATTCCAAGTCGGGTATGGGATTAGTTTTAGTTATTTGTTTTTCGGAAGCATGGACTTGATGGTGGAGGAAGCCGTAACCGACCAGCGATTACGTGAACCACCCAACGGCGACGAGGAGTCCAGCAATCCTCTTGCACATAACTATCCTCGCATGGGATTCGAACCTGCGAACCCACGCAGAGGAATCAGAGGTGGGGTGGCGAGCGTATTCCTAACGCTCAGCACGATGAACCACATCGCCGCATATTCATGTAACCGATGGTCCTCACTCCCCACGACTAACCATTAAAATTAACAGTTAACGCTATTCTCATACTGGTGATTTACAGACAACTGGACAAAAGAACATGGTTTGGTATAGGACTAACCCATCTTTCCCTCTTCCCGGGATAAATATAAAAATCCCAAAGTATCTGAAACATTTTAGATCTCATATGTTACACATAAAACCCCAATACTTCATATTTTCCCATAAATATTCCTTGTGTGACGAGTAAAATTTTTGTTCCTTGATTACGTCAATATCAACATTTATTAACTGAGGTGTTCCTAAATTTCAACCATAGGAAGATCTAGGGATATGAATTTGATGGGATGGCTTAATCATATGAGAATTACAGCCTTTTAGGGTGTTACTATTCCAGAGGGTGCATATAAAAGCTTTATTGTTGCAGGTGCGTGGGTTTTTCGGCTCGATTGCTTTTCTATACTTAAACCTTCACAGCTCAATTTTTCTCACCTGACTTGAATTCATTTCTGCACGGTTCACTGTAGACGAGTATGTTGGCGTCTCAATCCCACATCACGAGACAAAGGCTGGTTCGAGTCTTTTGGCGGGAACCGTACTATATGCCCCCATCATGCTAAACTTTTATTCACATTTCAAGGCATTTAGCATTTACAAATATGTGACCCCATTAAAATATATGATCGAATTTTTTTATTTTTTGTTGTAAGGGGGGAGAGGGAAGCTGATAAGACGGCTTAATCATGTGTGTACCAGTCATGAATGATGTCACTTACATATACAGTTATAATAGTAATGGGATAGGATTTCATATTTATATTATGGGAGAAGAAAGAGATGTTGCAATAATATGGCAGGCCACATTCTCTCATCCTGTTACCAGCCGAAGGTTGGCAATATAAGAATAGCTTGCTTTATTGTTCCATGTGCATGGGTTTTTCGGCTTAGTCGCCTTTCTATACCTAAAGCTATATTTCTAAAATATCCAATTTTTTGATTTTTTGTTACTTGATATTTTGAATTCATTTCTGCACAGTTCATTGTGGATATAAGTTTTGTGTAGAAAAAAGTGGTAACCCAATATTACGAGACAAAGGCTGGTTCGAGTCCTTTGGCGGGAACCGTACTATATGCCCCCATCAGGCTAAACTTTTATTCACATTTCAAGTCATTTACAAAAACGTGATCTCGTCAAAATATATATTAGTAATTTTGTATTTTTCATGGGGGGAGAAGGAAGCTGATAAAACGGCTTAATCCTGGTTATACCGGTCTTAATGACGCCACTGGCATATGCAGTTATAATAGTGTATGGAATAGGATTTTATATTTATAATATAGTAAAAGAAAGATGATGAGATGGCTCAATAATAGGGCAGGACACATAATCACATCCTGTTACTAGTGGCTTATATGAAATAGCTTGCTTTTTTGTTGCAAGTGCACAGGTTTTTCGGTCGGTCGCTTTTCTGTACATAAACCTCAACAGCTGTATTTCCAAAATATCACAGTTTGCCAAGATTCAAGATTTTCTTACCTGACTTGTTGAATTCATTTTCGCATGGTTCATTGTAGTAAAAAATCTTTCGCCGCAAAAGGTTGTAACCAATATCACGCGACAAAGGCTGGTTTGAGTCTTTGTACGGGAATCGTACTATTTGCTTGCCTCATTGTAAAACTTCATTCATATATCAATACAATTCACAAAAAGATGACTCCATCAAAATACATAATTGAAATTTTTTTTTTATATGGGGAGAGAGGAAAGCTGATAAGACGGCTTAATCATGTGTGTACCAGTCTTGAATGACGTCACTAACAGAATACAGTTATAATAGTGATGGAATAGAATTTTTATATTTATAATATGGTAAAAGAAAGCTGATGAGATGGCTCAATAACATGGCAGGCCACATTATCTCATCCTGTTACCAGCCGAAGGCCCGGAATATAGAATAGCTTGCTGTATTGTTCCAGGTGCATGGGTTTTTCCGTCTGCTGCATTTCTATACCTAAACCTCTAAAGCTATATTTTCAAAATATCGCAGTTTGCCAATTCTTGATTTTTCCTTACCCGACTTGTTAAAAACATTTCTGCACAGTTCATTGTAGACAAAAGCTTTGTGTCGCAAATGGTCCGTAACCCAATATCACAAGACAAAGGCTGTTTCAAGTTTTTTTGTGGGAATCATACTATTTGCTTGTGTCATGATAAACTTTTATTCACATAACAATACAATTCACGAAAATGTGACCCCATCAAAATATATGATTGAATGATGGCTCAATAATATGGCAGGCCACATTATCTCATCCTGTTACCAGTTGAAGGCAGGGAATATAAAATAGCTTGCTTCATTGTTCCAGGTGCATGGGTTTTCCGGTCTGCTGCTCTTCTATACCTAAACCTCTAAAGCTATATTTTTAAAATATCACAGTTTGCCAATTTTTGGTATTTTCTTACTTGATTTGTTGAAATCATTTCTGCACGGTTCATTGTAGTAAAAAACTTTGCGTCATAAAAGGTCTGAACCCGCTATCACGAGACAAAGGCTGATTTGAGTCTTTTGGCGGGAATGTATTATTTGCTTACGTTATGCTAAGTTTTTATACATAGTTTGAAAATAAACAATGAAATATCCTACATTGTCTGAAATTCAAAAGTTTTCATCCACAGTAGCTGTTTTTTCATAGATTTTTTACACCTTTCGGTCGAATGAGGCTCTCTTCAAGTCGTCACTGGTATAAGTAGATATTATGAGTATAGGGTGGGATAAAACTTCATAATTGAATACCACAGGGCTTCCCAAACTGGGGGTCGCGACCTTGCAGGAGTGTGCAATTTTAGTGGTTATAAAGATTACACCAATTTGACAAAGTACAATATCAAGTATACTCATTTAGACTTTTGATTCGAAACACAATTGTTGAAAACCGATGCAAAAATTAAATCTCACGAATTTAAAAGAAATCAATGGGATCAAAGAAGAGGCGCACATTGCATAGCAATGCCCACTTCAATCGCAAGACCCGAGAAGCGCTGTGCTTGCATAACAATGCCTGCTTTGATTGTAAGACACAAGAAATTAAATGTAAACATGGGTAGCAAAAAATTCTAATATATCAAAAGGGTAGTGTTAACTATTGGCGCACTTTTTTTTCGAAAACTGCGAGACACCTTTGCAGTTATTTTTGGAGACTGCGAAATCACTTTTTTTTTCATTTTTTCCCCTTTTAAATCGGCCAAGACACCTTTGCACTTTTTTTTCTAGTGCAGGCCCTTTCACACTCATAATGTCCTTATAGGGAACACTGGTCGTGAGCCCTGAAGTTTGGGTATTCGTGGAATACCATATCTTGAACCTTCAATGAAATATCTATTTCTCGTATACTGAACACTCTCTGTCAACTCGAGTTCAATTCTACGCTCACCACCCTACCTAAGATGTAATAAATTGAGCGCTCCAGAAGTATGTGTACCAATACGGAGGTAACTAATTTTGTTCGCCTACTTTACATCAAGTTGTGTAAAGGGACTGAAACCTATGGCAGGGGGTATATTTACTTGGCTAACACAGGCAGTCCCCGAACTTGTAATAGAACTAAAATAAGGAAAATCGAAGTGAAATTATGACCTAACCTTAACCTGGTACACAATTTGGAAAACTTAGTGCTTCAACAAGACTTCTTTGATCCTGTATAGCCTTATCCCAACTTCTAGCAACTTAAGACAATGTTTAATGACCTTGATTAGTTTTTATTGCTACGGTATAATTAATGTCACACATTGAATATAAGCACTCTACATTCTAATGTAAATCAAATAATGTTATTATATGCATTATAAGGCATCGTGGAAACCAAATTTCAAGGCACAGAGCTATCTACATAAGTGTATATGTAATACTGGGTAGCCCTAATGATAAAAACTTTTAGAGATAGAATTATGGCAAAAAACATATTCTGTTAAATTTTTATTTTGTCATATACTAATTACAAAATTCTGGTTTGCACTGCAGTCTATTACTGCTTTAGTGAGGGTTCATTTTCTTGACTTTATTGGATCAATGGTGTCTTGGTCTTTTTTTGCCCTCAATGTTGGACTCCACAGGTTCAGCCATGTCACCATGAATTGATGATTTAACCAAGTAAAAATCCTTGGTTAGACTAGACTCGTAGATGCTCATTGACTTGCAGTCGTTCATGTCTACTACACCTCTCCTATTCATCATTTCACGATTAACTTTTGTAAGCATATCTGTGACATGCTTTTGTTGGTAGCATTCCCTAAAGACATTATAAATGGACTGAATGAACCAAGATCCACTTTCATTTCTATATGCCAAATGTTTTTCATGCGCTGGATAAGCAGTGACGACATCACTTTTTTTGGGCATCAGTGGACTCATTATATCAAAAACCGGCATTGTATCACCAGCTGCATCACCTTGCCTGTACACACCTGTATCTATTTCGTCTCCTGTGCAGTATTGAAGAATGAAAAGCTTAGGGATATCTTGTAGGTTTTTAGCAGCAGTTTTGTCAAAAAATGATTGTATTTCATTTGCTTGGATAGCTGCCCCATCGTTTCCCAACAGAACTTCTTTATATTTCTCAGATGCTTTATCCGGCTCTTTCTTTCCAGTCAATTGAACCGTCCCTCCATGCGTGCTTATCACCACCACCACATAATCGTACCCTTGTGATCTACCAAGCTTCCTGAGCAGATCTCTCATATCAGCAGCACTTTTGTCTCGATGAGATCTTCCTTCTAGCAGTGTGCATCCTACAGTATCTCTCCACAGTTCCTCCATAAGTTCCGCGTCTTTATGACAAGCGAGTGTTCTATGATGTTCTTCAGCAAATGAAGTAAACGAATTGCTTATGATCAGAACGAGACCTTTTTTTGTTGTGACTTTATATCTCTCAAAGTCCAAGCATCTTTGGTACCCACGGGCTTGCAAGTTGTCAAGATCAGCAGCTGGTTGTACTACTCGGATTTGTTCATTCCTTGTTTGATTCATCTCTTCATGCTCACCACAAAAATATTCATGCTTCATAGTAATCAATTGTTGCATGAGGTCTTCCTGTCTCGGGTTTCGATCCTGCCATTTCATAACTGTCTTGAATTTACGTTCTTGGAAATTGTTTCCCCATCTATTTTCAAGTTCATCTATTTCATCCTCATCCACATCGAGTTTTAATCGAGTGAATTCTCTCCATTGTTCTTCGCTAAATTTGTTAGTTACTGTATAGATGTCTCCTCTTTTCATCATATCTTTAGTTAAATACTACAGATGTTAATTCACTAAGTACTGCTGGTATGTTAAATCAAATATTAATTTTACAAATTTGAGTTAGTTTTGTGTTTGTTTCATTATTTATCTTTGAACAAAGCGTGTACAAATCTAGTCACATATTTTAGTATATTTCATATTAAGTAATCTCAATATTTTAAATTCTGGATGTTAGAAATAGTATTTAACATTGGATGGTCAGACTTAGACTATTTCATTCAACTTATGATTACTTAAAATTATTGAGTCTATTAATACAATGCTTATCTCCTTCGAAAACAAAAGAGAGAAACTTCAAATGAAATGAGTTCTAAAACAAATCATTAAATTGGTTACTTTTCCGTACTCAAACCCATCAAGCTGTCTTGCCACATCATTACAACTTGGTGACCTATCTCCATCTGACTTGTTGATTTTTTTTTTTTCTTTTCCCATCGTAGACAAAACTTTGTAGGACAAGAGGAGACGCTTCCAATGTGTCCCTTTTTTATTATTCTCAACTGTATACAAAAGCCATGTCGCGTCAGGTTGGAATCTGATATCACAAGATAAAAAAGACTGTTTTGATCTTTTATTTATATTTTGACTCGGTTTACGAAAACAAAAAATATACGTTAATATTTAAAATTCAAAAATTTGCTGTTTGTATTTCACAGTAGTTCTTTTGTATTTTTCTATGTGTTGGTTTGAACATTGTTCTTAATAAGGCCTTGGGCAAGCAGTCTCTCATACATTGATTCTGATAGTAATGGTATAGACCACCGGTAATAAACCAGTGGGCCATGGCCCACTGCTGGGCCACAGAGACATTTGCAGGTGGGTCACACCCACAAGTCTATAAAAAATTGTTTTTATTGCATTGGGAATGAATGATAATTCTGTTTTTGCTATTGAATGGTAATTTTCGGTTTAATTATTAAAGTGCCTATCTTTTCTAAAATATATTTTTGATTTTCTTGTAGTTTTCCCTTGCGTAAGCAAGTTAATGGGCCGCAGGATTTTTTGTGCCACAAAACTGGGCCACGGAAGAAAAAGGGTTGAGAACCACTGGTATAATCCCAAAACCTTAACATGATGTAACGACCAAAAACCCCCATTTAGATAATTTACAGATTTAAACGGCGCAAAATGGTATTCCAAAATACTAAACTAAAATGTAAAATTTTTTTGTATAATTTGGGACATTTGACTAAGTGTAAATATCAATATAATTTAGATCATTTTGAATAACTTGAAGATGTAATTCCAGAATACAAATGCCTAATTGTATAACTTAATACTACATATATTTTGGAAAATATCAAATTATTTTGTAAAATTTATCGTCAGTTTTGTTTTTAGGCAACTTTTTCACATTTTTGCTTCTTTTACACCATATTTCAGGTGACTGAAATGGGAATTGAAATTGTGATTTTCAATCTGCGGTGACAACATAACTAAATCCTGTGGTTTAATTAATAACCATTATGCCCATACCTTCACTCAGAACTGACTGTGCTCAACCAACCACTGAGTACATAAGGGGCTGCTATTTTTTATTCGTTGTAGTTCTTCCTACCCATTATATTATAATGTGGGTAAGGTGTAACCATGAGAATATTTAATATACTAATTCAATCAAGGGTCAAATTTATTTATAGAAATTTAATCCCCATGACCAACCGTCGTGGAAACCGCCATTTTAAGGCCTTTTCTCTTTATTTTAGCCCCTTTCAACACACACTTCTCTCTTTTACCCCTTTTTTAGAGCAATGATTCTACATGTAATATTGTTAAAAACTACTTGAACAGGCATGTTAAGGTTAGCAAGACTTGACAATTAGGATGACCCAAAAAAGACAGTTACGATGTGATTTGGAACATATTTGAGAGAGAACATAACTTATGTATAAAGCGTCCTAGATGATATTTTATGTAGAGTTTCTGTTCTTTTGTATTGATTTTTTTACAATAATATGAAATTAAATGTAGACAATCATTTGGTCGTAATTTTCAATTACTTAATATGGTAATTTCATTGATGCTTAAATTTAATTATTTTAAAATATCAAACATTTGTAATAAATCAATGTGATGTTCACTTTATTTTGGACATCCCGAGGCAGGGGTAATGTGCCCTCAGACCAAACGATGGCCCTTGGATCATAATGACAAAAATAAAAATAAATTCCATTTATGAAAAATGTGACTCAAAATTATTTGGTTTCACTGCGGCATATCAAATTACTTGACCTACGTACTAAACATATGCATAGCGGTGTCTAGCTTCAAGTAATTGCTACTGTTAAGAAATTTGTCTAATATAAATGAATTTCATGATAATATGGCTGTACTGGCATTTTATTTTCTCTAATAATTGTAAGCACGGTGTAAAATTAAAATAACCACATACCGGTTATATATAAGATATGATGGTTATATACGGTAATTTTTCACATGAACTTGCCAGCAATTTAGAATTTATTCAAAAATATTTTCCCAGAATATATTTGGAACAGTAAAATATTAGGTTTTGGCAAGCCTCGCAAAAGGATAGAAAATTGAAAATATTACGAACCCCTTATGCATGAATGGCAGCTTGTATAAAGGCTTGTTCAGAGTGGAGATATGTCGAACATTTATAAAAAAAAATTATCCTGGGGAGATGGTGGGCACGGGTATTAGATTTGAAGTATCTACTAATGTGTATCTCCTAATAAAGAAATAATTTTAAATTTTTTCATTGAAACTTTATGGTCTAAGTATTTGAAACAGGATAGTCAGACTTAGTTAAAAGAATTTCATTCAATTTTTGATTAATGTAAAATTGTGAACTCTATTGATACAATGCTTATCTCCTTCGAAAACAAAATAGAGAAAGTTCGATTGAAACGAAGTCTAAAACAAATCATGAGATTAGTTGCTTTTCCGTACTCAAACCCATCAAAGGTGTCTTGCCACATCATTACAACTTGGTGACCTATCTTAATCTGACTTGTTGAATTTTCTTTCCAGTGTAGACAAGGACAAAAGAGGACGCTTATAATGTTTCCCTTTTGTATTCATCCCTCATTCTCAACTGTAGACAAAAGCCATGTCGCGTCAGGTTGGATTCTGATATCACAGGATAAAGACCCTTTGACCCTTTATTTACATTTTGTCTCGGTTTACGAAAACAAAAGAAATACCGTACACGTTAATATTTAAAATTCGAAAATTTGCTGTTTGTATTTCACAGTGTTTTTTTTTGTATGTGTTGGTTTGAACTTTGTTTCAATAGGGCCTTGGGCAAGCAGTCACTGATATATTGATTATGATAGTAATGGTATAGCTATAGAGTGAGTTATAGACCCATAACATTAACATGATTTAACGACCAAAGCCCCCATTTAGATAATTTACGGATTTAAACGTCGCCAAATTATATTCCATAATACTGAACTTTTTGATGGCCTACTAAATTGAATCATTTTTATTTCCTAAATATGTTAAATTTTGTTGTAGAATTTTGGGGGAAGGTTTAACTAAGTTTGATTATCAGTATAATTAAGATCATTTTTGATAATGAAAAACACTATTCCAGAATACGAAAAACTAATTGAATAACCTAATACTACATATAGTTTGGAAAATGTCAAATTATTTTGGAAAATTTATCGTCAGTTTTTTAGTCAACTCTTTGTCTCTTTTGCTCAGAGCAAGGCTTTGTACAAGTAACTTTCTGTTTAAGCATTGCCTACTCAATTTTTTACACCATTGTGATTTTCAATCTGGGGTGACAACATAACTAAATCCGGTGCTTTAATTAATAACCGTTAGCCCATTGCGCCCATACCTTCACTCAGAACTGACTGTGTTCAACCAACCGCTGAGTACCTAAGGGGCTGCTATTTTTTATTTGTTCTAGTTCATCCTACCTAAGGTGTAACCATGAGAATATTTCACAAACTAATTCAATCAAGGGTTAAATTTATTTATAGAAATTTGATCCCCATGACCAACCGTCCTGGAAACCGCCATTTCAAGGCCTTTTCTCTTTATTTTAGCCCCTTTTTTATCACAAACAATACAAACTTCCTCTTTTTACCCTTCTTAAAGCAATGATTTTACATATATGTGGTATTGTTAAAAACTACTTGAACAGGCATGTTAAGGTTAGCAAGACTTGACAATTAGGATAACCCAAAAAAGACAGTTACGATGTGATTTGGAACATATTTGAGAGAGAACATAACTTATGTATAAAGCGTCCTAGATGATATTTTTTGTAGAGTTTCTGTTCTTTTGTATTGATTTTTTTACAATATTATGAAATTAAATGTAGACAATCATTTGGTCGTAATTTTCAAATACTTAATATGGTAATTTCATTGATGCTTAAATTTAATTATTTTAAAATATCAAACATTTGTAATAAATCAATGTGATGTTCACTTCATTTTGGACATCCCGAGGCAGGGGTAATGTGCCCTCAGACCAAAAGATGGCCCTAGGACCATAATGACAAAAATAAAAATAAATTCCATTTATGAAAAATGTGACTCAAAATTATTTGGTTTCACTGCGGCATATCAAATTACTTGACCTAGGTACTAAACATATGCACAGCGGTGTCTAGCTTCAAGTAACTGCTACTGTTAAGAAATTTGTCTATTATAAATGAATTTCATGATAATATGGCTGTACTAGCGGTTAAAGTTGATCAATTTTTTTTTCTCTAATAATTGTAAGCACGGTGTAAAATTAAAATAACCACATAATTATCAGGGATGTACAAATCGAATCAAATACATTCAAAATAAGTTTTTCATACTCATTATTTTTGCCCTGTCATTATTGCCCATTATTTTTGCCTTTGTCACTGATGTCTAACGGCATGTAAGTAGCTACTATTATTCAGAAATATCGTAATCTTCCCTCTTGGACATTGCCTTTTCAATTTATTACACTCTGGGTGAGGTGACAGTCATTGGGATAATTCACAAATTCATATAATCAAGTGTAGAAATTCAATCCCCATGACCAACCGTCGTGGAAAACCCCAGTTCAAGGCCTTTTCTCTCTATCTCTCTTTATGAAATATTTCAACTTTATTCACTCAAGAATAGGGCTCTGTAGAAACAACCACTCAGGGCCACACAAAATGGATCGTTTTGCTAATTTGTTGTAGTTTCTGCTGTAAAAATTTTTTAATTTGAAAACTACCGGTATTTGACTAATCTATTTCAAATTTTCAGTGCTCAAAATAAAGGAAATTTTTCAGATGGCCAATATTCTTATTTTATTCAAATCCCTTTGAGTCTTATGGTACCTAATATTTCACTCAAACCCATGACCAACCGTCGTGGAAAACCCCAGTTCAAGCCCTTTTCTCTTTATTTTAGCCCCTTTTTTATCACAAACAATACAAACTTCCTCTTTCTACCCTTTTAAACGCAATGATTCTACATGTATTATTGTTAAAAACTACTTGAACAGGCACGTTAGTGATAGCAAGACTTTATTAAGAAGAATTAGGATAACCCAAAAAAGACAGTTACAATGTGATTTGGAACATATTTCAAAGAGAACATAACTTATGTATAAAGCGTCCTATATTAATTAAACATTTGGGTATAATCAGACACACACAGAAAAATTCAAGTGTTAAAAGAAATTTCTTTAATTTTTATATAAGTAATTGAGAAATTTATATTATCTGTTTTTGGGGATTAATTTAGACATGGAGTCAAGGATCCCAGTTGGGGAGCTAATTTTTCTTAGGGTGGATTCTTATTGGATAGCCGATTCTTCTCAGTATATACTGTTTGTTTATTACTAATATTCTTTACCTATTCAGTATTTATTGTAACAATATAAACTAATCAAACCTCGAAAAAGTGAGAGTGTGAGTTATGTGTATATATTGTGGTATTACTTATATTCTTTGCTTTTAAGTATTATCATAATACATATTTATGCACACATTACAAAATATTCAAAATGTACAAAAGCAAGAGTCCAAATTACGTGTATTTATTGTGGTATTACCAATATTCCTTATTTTTTAGGTATTTTTGTAATAAATATTTATTTATACAGCATGGACTACTCAAACCGTACAAAAGCCAAAGAGTGAATCGCAAATATTGCTACATCAAACAACAAACAAATTTCAATGCACAATGTGGGGAAATGAAGAGTTTCAAAAAGGACAAAGGAAAGAATATACGAATATATATATGAAAAGGTGGGTAAATATTGACACATAACAGTGGTTATAGGGTTTCAGCAATCATAGGCTTAGCCAGAGCGTTGTGTGGGATCATCCAACTAAAAAAAATTTTTTTTGAATATAATTTTGTGGGATATGTCAGTAAGACATATATTCATATGCCTTATCCAACACCATTTTATTCTTGAGTGATTTACTGAAAACTGGATGTTTCCTGAATTGCTTTCAATCGAACGATTGTGAATTATATACTTGTTTGGTTATAATGTAATTCAGTCTGAAGAATATAATCGTCAAAACTGGTGTTTTGATACTCATAATCTAGTGAAGTGTCGCGGGCCGTATATATTACTCCACGGGTCGGATCCGCCCTGCGGGCCGTAGGTTGCCGACCCCTGGCTTAGGCCATAATTTCAGGTACAAACACTACGGGAATCACTTGGCTAGTCCCAGAACTCGTAATAGAACTAAAATAAGGAGAACTGGAATAAAATTATGGCCAAAATCTAACCTTTTACACATACTATGTTTTAATTTAATTAAAATTAGACACATGGCAACAAAAAGCAGAAAAGTTGATGCTAAGTGCAAAGGGTCCAATGGCGCTGAAAATATTCAAATGGAATATTTTGAGATGCAATGAAGAAATAAATCTAAATTCTATTCGATAGATGTATCACTGCTTGATTTTTATTATAAAAAGTATCATCCGTTTGGTTTTCAACTTTCTAAAAATATGTGCGGCCCGCCAATGACTTGCAACCCTCAATTTTGGCCCGCGAGCGGCAAAAGGTTGCCGACGCTTGGCCTAAGCTGATACACATACTACGTTCATGTGTCTGCCATCTTGGTTCACATACTCCGGTAGTACTACAACAAATACCTGTGAACCCCTTTGAAGGTTTTGAGAGATTTTCATTGAAAAGCAAGGGCAATGTAAGGTTGAGAGTCTTATAAGCGAGCCACGGATTATGAAAGTTTGAGAACCATTTACCAAAAACAGGGGTGGCAACTGGCAAGGTATTTGGAGCAAGGGCCAAGACTTTTGCCCACTTAGACTGGCGGGTCATGTGAGTGTGACATAAAAAGTTATAATATTTACATTGATACAAAAGCAAAAGTTGAAAACAATAAGCCTTGTGCCAAAACTAATTTGAAACGCAATCTCAACAAATACCTTAAGCGTTTTTTAGCCAAACACCAAAATTTTATTTTAGTTTGATTGTGGCTGCATCAGATGGGCCAGATTGAATTATCGAACGGGTCTCATTTGGCCTGCGGGCCGGGGTTTGCCCATGTCAGGCTTGGAGCTACTAACAATTTGGGTCATGCTCTACTAATAGTATAAAAAAAAGCCCCATATTAGGTAATGTAATATTAGTAATCGAAGTTCACACAGTGCTTATCACTCAAGTGTAGGCTGTGAAAGATAAATTATGGTTATACACACAGAGAGACGTCCCCAGTAACTTGAACTGTGTACATTAGGATAATTCGTTCCATGGAAAGAACAAAGGCATACTAAGAACATCGAAACTCGAAGCGGTCCTCATTACGATATAGAGCAAATATTCTCGGATTATATATCACTTCTCTTCTCATACATTGGCTTTGTAGTTCAACTATATCAATTTACGTATTGGGGCAAACTTTGCTATTGTTTCATCACAAGGATGCTTGAATAAAACAAAGTTAAAGAGAGGCCAAAATTGAATGTTCTGCAGGAAGGTTAAGATAAACAATAGTTTGACTGGTTCCTTTCTATGTTAGATTTTCAGAAGGTAATAAGGGGATTTTTATCCTTTTGTCGCAGGATGACATTTAAAGTTTTTTTTAAAATTATATGTAGACTGGTATTAGATATCAGCTGTGAGCTCCTACCTATATGAATCCTCATGTCAGTGGTTTCATGAAAAAGAGTTCCGACACACTTGCTTGTGTGTCAGTAACTTAATTTCTCCCATGATGATGTCGAGATAAATGTTGTCAAGCTATGATTAAATAGTTTTTTTTTCTAAATAATTTTGCTTGGAAAGACCCGAGGCATTGTGATTTTCACTTTATTTATTTCATTTTTGTTTATCAAATCTACTGTATAACAAGACTCGAGAAAGCTCAGATTAACTTGTGAATCAGCTTGAGAACTAAACTATCAATCATTTGCTTAGCCAACGATTCAACTCAGGACTTATATGATTTGTGACGCAGTGGGCATTATCCTACTCTATTGATTGGCAACTTAACAAGATGATGTGGTTATTACATGATTAGATCGTCTGAGTGAAATGTTTTTATTGTTATAGGGGAAATAACCATGTTGCTAAGAATGACAAATTATAATAAGGTTTTTGAAAGGTTATACATATATATGATAAAAAAGAAAACATTTCAATATCCTTTTGAAATTTTACCTATTGCATCATTGAAATTCCGAAAATTAGTTCTGGTGTACTTTAATATTTCACATGTTCTGAAAACAATTTGTAATATTACAAAACAACATTATGTCCCTGACTCCGAGCCTGAAATGAGGGGAATCCTATGTCTGACTCCTTTCCAAACTGTCAAGGAAATAAAAGACTTTGACATATGCAAACCTTCTTCCTGGGCTGGTTGGAGGAAAGCCGATAACACGGCTTAATCATATAGCGAACCACGGCCTCTCGTCCCGTTACCAGTCCATATCGGGCACCGTGTGGAATTAGTTAACCAGTTATTATTATTCTTTTTTTTGGAAGCATGGAGAATTTTAAAAAAGCTCAATCAACTGTTGTTTTTTTTCTGTTTTGAGTTTCTGTTTTGACTTCAATTATCACCAATAAAAATCTTTAATTCTGAAAATGACTTTGGGAAATTCAAATTCGTAACTTCGACTGACAGGGTTTGAAAATAGGATTACAGTCCTTGATATAGCAAAGTAGTGAAGAATTTAGGATCTTTTCCAAAAATGAATCAGTTCAAGTAGGCAGGATATTAACTTAATATGTTACTGAAATCATTTGTCGTTAAGATCTATGTATTAACATAGAACAAATATTTCAAAAACATGGAAAAAATCGATCCTGACGTTATTGACGATGTAACAGAGATCTTCCATGAGTCCCAGTGGAAAGATTTTTCCAGAAAAAAACTACGTTTGGAAGATGAAAAAATTGAAGAACTGGAAACTAAGCATAAAGGAGAAATCAAAGAGCTCAAGTATCAAACAGTTAAACATTGGAAGAGCACAACTGGAAAAAATCTGGACAAATTGACCACTCTAAAACAGGAATATTTTTGCAGCAAATCGGAAACGATTGCTTCAAAAACAGTAGAGGCACAACAGGATCTTGATGGCGGAAAGAGACGAGATGAGTTCAGTTATCCATTAAAAAACGGAAAAGGTATTGCACTTATCATAAGCAATTCTTTCGCTGACACTGAAGGCCATAGCTCTAGAAACCCTGGGTGTGAAAAGGATTGGAAATATATGAAAAATCTGTGGAGCAAAACCTTGGGTTGTGAACTCGTAAACGGCGATGTTCATTGTGATAAAACGGCTGACGAAATGAGAGACTTACTGGATAAAGTTGGGAACACAAAAGATATCGATTATGCCGTTGTGGTGATCAGTACACATGGAGGATTTGAGGAAGTGATTGAAAATCAAGAAACAGGGCTAAAAAAATATGAAGAATTCCTATATGGGAATGATGGGAGCAAATTACAAGTTAGTGAATTTCAAGAAATCTTAAGCAATAAAGAAGCTCAGCCATTGAGAGATATACCGAAATTGCTAATTCTCCAATACTGTAGGGGAAGAATCATTGATGACGGAGTTACCACTGATGCAGTTGTTTTTATAGGGGGACTTTTAGAACACCAAAAAACTGAGAAAGGTTATCCTGTGGATGCTCTTTTGCCTAAGAAGAGTGATATTATTACTGTGTATGCAACTCATCAAGACTTCGTTGCGCTCAGGAGTGACAAAGGTTCCTGGATGATCGAGTATATATACGAAGTGTTCGAAAAGTACTACAAGACCAAGCATGTTACTGATATGCTTACGATTGTAAATGACCGAATGAAAAACAGCAGGGGAAACATACAAGGAAAGGATCGCAAAGCAATGAGCATTTATGAGTCCAGTCTCACCAAAGATTTCTATTTGGTTTAATATAATTGGACCTTCTGAAAACTGTAAAGAAAAACATTAAGCTGCATAATAATTAAGACTTGATTTATCCTTGTAAATATTACATGATTCATGGCTTTCAAAGACTCATTACTGTGTGACCTCATCCTGGCAGAAATTGCCAATGGAGACTTTAGAACAGTGATTCTCCCACTTTAATAATCGGTAACTTTCTACCAAATATTCCCAACACTTCATGGCTCCGTCAAAAACTGTCGATGGATACTATCACTCATTGGTTCTTAAACTTTCATAACTCATGGCTTTCTTTGGGATATTCTCAACACTGCATGGCTCCGTCAAAAACTGTCGATGGATACTATCACTCATTGGTTCTTAAACTTTCATAACTCATGGCTTTCTTTGGGATATTCTTAACACTGCATGGCCCGCCCCATGCTGGATGAAATTGTCGGTGGAGACTATCACCCATTGGTTTTCAAGCGTTCATGACTCGTGGCTCCTTTTAAGTGACACTCAACACTACATGTTTTGTGGAAAAATTGTCATTGAATACTCTAACCAGTGGTTCTTGAATCTCCCTGATCTGTAGCTGCCTTCTGAGACTCTCAACACAGCATGCCTCATGCTCTTCAATGAAAAGACCTAGTTTTTGCCTTTTACAGTTTTTAACTGTTACTTGTAAATGAGGCGCAAGAGCCAAATGCGGCCTACAAGGAAAAATTGTGTGGTCCGGTGGCCCACGGATAAGTGCCAATTTTTTTTAACAGTTATTTGTAAATTCATTTTAAATTAATGTAGTGACCAATGATACCTAGAAGGCTATTGCCTGTGGGCCCCAAAGAATCTATCTGTTGCCCCTAGGGGCCCGAGGTCCCATCTTGCTGTTCTAAGCGTTCCCATTGGTGCTTTCACCATGGTCATAGAGTTGTCAAAAATTACCACTCGACTTTACTTTCCATAATATTTAAATGTACTTCCCAGATTGAGGGATATTTTTACCCGACCATCAAATTCAAGAACATCTTATTTTAATCAAAAATACTTTTGTGATGGAAGCTTTGATTTATTGTCTTTTTAGATATCTTATTTTATGGACCATAGGGGCGCACTCTAAATCTATTTTTTTTCAATTAATAATGTGCCTTCAAGCCAGCAACCTTAACCTGAGGCACATGGGCCAAATGCGGCCCACAAGGAAAAATTGTGTGGCCCGGTGGCCCGCGGAGAAGTGCCAATTTTTCTTAACAGTTATTTGTAAAGTCATTTTAATTCATTGTAGTGACCAATGATACCTAGTAAAGGCTATTGCCTTTGGGTCCCAAAGAATTTATCTATTGTCCCCTAGTGGCATGAGGTCCCATCTTGCTGTTTTAGGTGTTCCCATTGGTGCTGTTCTAAGAGTTCCCATTGGTGTTTTCTTCATGGTCATGGAAACGTCAAAAATTACCACCGGACTTTAAATTCCATAATATTTTGAAAGCACTCTCCAGATTGAGTGAAATTTTTACCCCGACCCCCGAATTAAAAAACATCATATTTCAATCAAAAAAACTTTTATTTTTAGTATGGAAGCTTTGAATAGTTTGTTCAAAAAGTTAAATAAACCTAATACAATATTTTATGGACCAAAAGGCGCACTCTAAATATCTCTTTTCCTAAAAATTGATTGTGTGTTTTATAACCAGGTGCGCCTAATGTATGGATCAGGAGGTGATTTATGTTTTATCATCTACACTCGACAAAGCAGGTGCCGTCAATCTTGGCACTCATTGTATGGATTGGATAATGCTTTATTGCTCAAAACAAGTACCAGCGCCTTATGTATGAAATAAAACCCAATCTGAGAAATTTATTGAAGGTGCGTCTTATGGATCATAAAATACAGTAGTTTCCACCAGGGGTTATTCCTCAGAATAGGAAGGAACGAATTACGGCCTGCGGAAGATTTCATCTGGCCCACTTGTGCCTGCTGAAATATTGATTACAGCTTTTATGGAGATAAATCCCCCTCGTTACAATAGTGAAACGACAGGCAAATGTTATCGACTCTAGTTATTTGTAAATAAACTGTTTTCATAGTGAAGTTTATTTTTCCATCCCATAGATACAAAAAAAGTAAAATTAAATTGAACACACCTTTTTACTGGAGAAAGGAAGTCGTAGGGAACCAAGTTCCAATTTCAATATTTCAATTTCATATTGAGTATTGAAACCCCGGCCCATTAACGAAGTCCATTATTCTTAAGGGGCCCACTTCAGAAAGTAATTGCCCTGCCTTAGATTAATTAACCTCTATTAGATTTCGGAAATTGTGGCTCAGACTTCAAAAAGTTTGAAATTATAACTCTGACTCTAGTTAGATAATTACATCCCTGCACCCTTTTTTGATATGTTTTATTAGCATCTTATCTAATCAGATAATGCAATCTGTATGAATCAAACTATTTGAGAAGCTTTCAATAATAATAATAAGCGAACATGCAAATACTTTGTTGTTCTTGTTTTATACTAGCAGTTTTATTTGGGTTTCCTAGAAAGTGTTTTGAGAGTCTGTAGGGAAACTAGAAGTTATATAAAGTCAAGTAACCATTTTAGCTTTTTTCTGTGAAGTATCAGATGCTAATTTGATTATTTAACAATATTAATTTATCTCAAATATAAAATGGATCTAAAAGATAAAATGGATATGTGTTTCGTCACATACATTCTGATTTGAGTCTATATTGCTTTACACAAGAGCGAGTCTTTGACACTTTATCAACTCTCTTATTTGAGTTTAGAGGCAGATTGACTATCTACTGTTCTATTCAGCTATTTCGTTTTGCACATTTTGTTAATGATAGAGAAATTTTGTGAAACACCTTCAAAACCTCCAAAGGCTAGCAATGTGTTCAAAATAGGGAGCGGGGTCTTTAACATTAAGAAAAAATTAGGATCAATTTGTACATATGGGGATATGCTCTGTAACAAACCTGGGTTTTCCGTTCTTTATCAAAAATGGTGTAATTGCTACTCAGTGCGCGAGCAAGAATTTCTGTTGATATGCATGTAGTTGGGGTGGTGATCTAGCGCAGTGGTTCCCGACCTAGGGTCGTAGAACACTATGTGAGCCATAGAGCAGTTGGAGGGGGGCCACCATGTCAGATGCAAAACTGATTTTATTTTTTCCTTTACTAGAAACCCTCCCGTTTTTCCTAGTTTCAATGTTTGCTGAGGTTACTTCACAGGGTGTTTTTCCTTCATTGAGCATGAATGAATGAATAGCACTGTATTGATAAACAGCATTGCGGCGGTGTGACTCATTGTGCTAAGTGCTGGGAATACACTTGCCACTGCTCCTCTGTTTACTCTGCGCAGGTTCGCTGTTTGAATCCCATGGAGGGATAGTTATGTGCGAGAGACATGGACAGAAGGCTATTACTTTTTTTTTTCGCTATGACGTCATCAAAATTATGTGACTCTACGTGTCCATATATTTGAGCATAGCTCTCTTGTTTATTAGAAGGCATGGAATATAAACGGTTCAACATTTCGTATCAAATTTATTGCACTCTGGTTAGGTGACCATTTAAGTCAAATTTAAAATGAAAAAATAAATAGAAGATTGTCCATTCTATTTGTGATTTGCTTTTTTATTAATGTTAATTAGAATATAAACTACACAGTTATATGGCTTTGATTTTAAAGTGCGGTGTTCAATAAATACTGTATTGGCTTTCACACTGATGAATGTATAACAATGAAAAATTAAAAAGATATTTGTTCTTTTACTTCTTACTCCTCCAGTACATGCAAAATATAACGACAAACCCTGCCACAGCTATGCTTGACACAATCACAATAGAGCAAATGTAGGGAGTATAATCAGAGGCTTGGGCTTTGCATACAATGTCAATTTCCTTTGTAGAAGCTCTTTCATTGTTCTTGGTGTCGTTTTTTTCTCCAAATTCGTGGTTTTCAACTTCATGACTAACTCCTCTGGGTGTCATTGTTTGTGTTATTGGGGATGGTGGAACTTTCTTCGTTTGCTTGTACACTTTTGTTGTTGGTGTTGACGTCGAAGTGGAAACATTACGATTTTGCTCTTTAATGAATTTTTGTTCTTCAGTGATGTACTTTTCTTTTGGCGATTGTGTGCTCGATTTCGCTTGGATTCTGAAAATATTATTACATATTTAGCGTTGAAGAACGTCAAACTTATAGAAGCATAATCATCATGTTCGGGAGACATGGGTTCGAATCCCACTGGAGATCTTCATATTCAAGAAGACACTGAAGAGCATTACTGGACTTTTCACTGTTGGTATGTACGCCCTATTATTTCATAATATTACCAGCGAATTGTTTAATCAGGCCATTTATGTGGCCACACCTCACCTAGGGTATATTAAATTGGGTAGGCAACAAGTATTTGAAAAGATTTTGGTTCGTTCAAAGGTACTCCTGAAGTATGTGAACAAAGATGGCGAACCCCGGAAAATAGTATGTGTAACTGGTTAGTATTAGGCCATAATTTTATTCCAATTTTTCTTATTTTAGGTCTATTACGAGTTCGTGGACTAGCCAAGTGACTGACTCCCTTAGTATTTGTACATGAAGTTATGGCCTAACCTGGTACACATACTGCGTTCTGGTGCCCGCCATATCAGTTCCAATACTCAGGGAGTACCCTTTCAAAAAATAATAAAAGTAATTATGTACATATCATGAGTCATTAGTGTCTGCTAATGTAGGGCCTCGTTCGAACTAAAATGTGTGTTTGAGAGTTAAAAAAACGCTCCATGGCCTTCATGTGAGTCAATAAATTTTAGAAACTCGGATGGTGTGTTAGATCATGAAAGAAAGGCTCTTCGGCTTTGGGGCATGTACTGTAAACTTGTTAAAAAAAGAGAGCACTTTGGTCATTGGCATGTACTGTAATTGATGATAAAAATGAGCCAAATAGAATTGATTAAAATTTTTCTGATTCAATTTACTGGGCAGTAATATAGGAAAAACTTCATTCATATTTAGTGCTAAAAATTGGCCTTGTCTTATTTGATAAGTTGGCTTTTGAGCTGAAAAATACAGTAAATCATGTGCATGAAATTCGGTTATTATAACCACCTTTCAACAGGTGGTGGATACAGCAATCTAAAAAGGCTTCCAATTTTCAAATGTTTGACTCACTTGGTACATGTATTGGAATGTTCTGTATCATTATTTTCATATCCTCTTCTGCATTTTTTGCAGTACCTTTCCTCCAACCAGCCCCTTGCAAATTCGAAATAGTCTTTTGAGCAATATTTTCCATCTTTCAAAGGTCCATATACATGCCTTCTTATCTTTTCAGCAGATGAATTGTGGGACAGAAGTAAGACCACTGCCACAAGCAATAAAACAGGCAGCTTCATGACTAGTCTAAATTGTAATATTCTGACAATACAATGATAAATAATGAGTTTTCATGATATTAGTAGAGGTCCTTGGAGTTCATCAAGGTAAAACCCTATTTATATACCGGGCTGCCATAACGTTCTTATTTCTAAGATTTGTCCTTATTTTGAAGGTCTTTGTCTTAGAAAATGTTTTTGTCCATATTTCTAAGAAGCGTTCTAATTTTGCAATGTGTCTTTATACCAGGCACTTAGATTGGTCAATTCGAATGATTAATTTGCTAGAAATGATATTTTACAACTTCATTGATTGCTACGCGCATTCATTATGTAATAACAGGCAATTAATTGACACAATGACAAAACAATAGACTACCGGCCAAAATCAGTTCGTGTAACTTGAATCAAAATACAACTTAAAAGTGAGATGGAACAGATAGTTTTATAAGAATAAAGAACTGCTGAGGCAAATCCGTTCTCGTGCAAAGTATGATTAGACATGGGTCACACCGGCATGAATACATTTTATTTATTACATTTCTTTCCTTGTTATTATATTATTATGTTTCCCTGGTGTCCTTCTTTTTGGGTTCATATTGATGGCATCCCTGGTTACGTAACATACCAGAATAATATGTGGTGAGCTGATATATTCTGGAAATCAGGCAGTAAGTGTTAAAATAAGTGTTTAAAATTTCTAATTTTCAAGTTGTACTGTAAGAACTAGCGGGCTTGTTCGTGGACCGAAAATATAGGTTATCAAAAGTCTTGTGGGTCTAAAAGGCGTTTCAAGTTATGACAAATTGCTATTATGTGTTATACAGAAAATTACTTTTTCCTATTCCAAAGGGGGGGCATATGCTACGCCTTCATAGGCTAAAAATGCAGTTACATCCTTCTTCACTGTCTTTGTTTTATCCTATTGACTGTCAGGGCTGAATCAGATCATCTATCTTCCCCCCCCCCCCCCCCCCCTATTCACCTTATGGCAAGGAACCCCTTAGCATTCTTCCCAGTCAGCTGATCCATTGTTTAAATGTGAGGTCTACACACAATGAAACCTTGTGTACTTAGATTAATGGATAACTAACCAGTGGACTAACATGTTTTTTTTTCTTATACTATTTGGAAAGCCACTTTACTTAATGAAATTCACTACTACTCATTCTATTCATATCCATGGGTGAAGCGTCACGTTTCATCCTTATTCACCCTGTCATATTAATTTACTTAAAAGCAGTCAGCCAATCCATTCATTATCTCGATTAGTCCTTTGTTATCTGGTTAGTAAATACCAAACTAGTTCACTACGATGTTAGCTTTAGTTAGGCGTACCGGTAATAGCAAACTAGTTAGGTGCGGTTCGCTATAATGATTTCATATTATTCGCAAGATTGAATTCACGTGGTAGTAATTGCGCTTCACAGATTTGATTAATGCTCCCCTTTTTTCATCAAAGCACACAAATTATTTGTACGCTTTGAAAAGTTTTGAGAAAGATATGTGGCGTAAAATATTGCAATAAACTGCCTATTCCTTATTAGTCATTCTTTATAGGTCTACACATAGCATGCCTCCTTCCTTTATAATATTTGTATGCTTTTCTAGTTTAGGTTTTGAGGGGTAGGGAACACTGATTTATTACCCAGAGGGTTGTTTTTGTCATGTCGGTATTGTGTAATCTTTACATATGACGTCTGATTCACTGCTTTTTGTAACTCATAATTTTCGGCAAGTTTTACATCGCATAAGTACACATTTTGAATGGTTTTCGAAACTATACTATAGTAAATTGCATATTACATATTTATTGCTGTTTATTCATATTATATTAAATTCTAACGTGGCCTTTGTATGCATTTAGAGTTTCATGGAAAATGATTCTTTTCTAAGCAGTATATTGCGTCTATCTTCCTTACTCAAAGAAACAATTGAAATGCCATTATAAAAGTTACTGTGTCCAACATTCATTTATTATACAATTGAATGAATTTATATGCTATGGTTGGTCTTCATAGCTAAATATGACAAATTTAAATTCATTTATTAAAAAAACAAAAAAAATATTCAGAAAACAAGCATAGATGATTGAAAAATATGTTCACAGTTTATGCTTGGTGGCTTTCTTTTTAATATTGGCTTTTCCTCTCTTGCTTTCGTCTTATTATGATTATTACAAAAATATATTTTTTAAAGAAAAATGCAATTCATGACTAGCTAGATCAGGTAGATCCAAACCGCGGGCCGCGGGCCTCATGGGGAATACATATTTAGAGCAGCCTGTGAATCAATTTCCACCTACACTAAACCATTGGCGTATAGTTGTATTGTTGGCAGATCATTTTTTAGGTTTTTTTTATCTATTCCAACTTGGGATTCCAAGATTCAAACCATTTTCCCAATTCCGATATTTTGTTTTCTATTAACTGTTTTCTATTGCCCTAACTTATATAGGGGTACACAGTCATTTTGCAGCATAAATGTGGTCTTGTTTGGGCACTCCAGAAGTATGTATACCAATATGGAGGTAACTAATTTTGTTCACTTACTTTACATCAAGTTGTGTAAGGGGAAGGAAGCCTGTGGGCAAGGATTATATTCACATCATCAAACTAAACAGTCCCCGAACTTGTTATAGAACTAAAATAAGGAAAATCGGAATAAAATTATGGCCTAACCCTAACCGGGTATACATACTACGAGATTACCCTTGTTTGAAAGGTGACGCAATGCTCTTCATTGCTCTTCATTCATCTAGGTCTCGAAATCCCAGCTTAGACGGACTTGGTTATTCTTTGACGATAACACTAAGCCTACTTACTTTGAAAGTTAACAAATTATTCCAATATAACAATTCATCATAAAATAAGTTTCAAAATAAAGATGTCAGAAGAAAAAAAGAGATTTTAATGCTAACTCAGCCAAAACATATTTCATTGCCAACTGCAATGGTAAACCACAGTATCTGGTGTGCTTTCAAGTAATAGCTGTTAGGAAAGAGTATAATTTGAAGTGACATTACGAATAACATAAGACTGAATACGGAATTACCACGGTACTTCACGGGAAACAATTTTAAAAGAACTATAGGGTAACTTATTGAAGCAAAAAAAGTGATCGTCAATTAATCGACTTAAGGTGGTGATTCCGATAAACTATCACTAGTTTCATACAATAAACAATTTATTCCAACTTTTGTCAAACTATACTCTCGACTCGCCAGTTTCAATGTAAAGGTTGCCAGCCGCACAGCCCAGGTAGCCCCACCCACCTCCGAGACAGCTGACCACCAAACGGCAATGATGTAAATATCGATTTGCCAACCTATGCCGAGCATGCTCAGAGGTAATGCTACACCAGAGGCTTGTATTTGTGCATGATGTGACTGCAAGGGGTTAACGCCATATGTATGGCCCATGCTGGACAAATCTACTCTACGACAACGGTAAATGGGTTAATGATTGTGACACATAAAATAACTGATGAAAACCTATCGAAAGCTAAACTAAGTAATTTTATAGAAGATCATGGGCCACAGACGATGTGAGTTTGAGAAACATTGTCTTAGATGCTTATTATTATCTACTCAATTTTTTTGTTTCTGCCTAAGGTTTATAGCTCATTATAATAGCCAAAAAGCCTTGTTGAAAAATCCTATAATTTATTTTCAACATTTTTTCAATGGAGAGAAAGTATTTCAAATTATTTCACAGCAATGGTCTAAAATTCAACTAAAGTACACAAAAAGTTTACGGTGATAGCAAATTTCATGCTCAAAAAATTTCGGAATATACAAAAGCGATAGGATCGTAGCAAAAATTGTTATTATATAATTATTAATATTAGAATGTATAAAACAGCTGGGTGTTCATAAAATCTTGTTACAAAATTGTTAATCAATCGCAATAACAGGTTTGTTGTATTTTAGGTTTTTACTTTGAATAATACACTTGTAAATTATCATTATAGTGAAGTAATAAAGTAGAAAATAGTAGCATAAATGAGAGTGTATAATAGGCAGCAATGGAATTAGCGACACTTGCTTAGAAACTTAAAAGTATCAGACATTTTAATATGACACTTCATCTTATTTCATTCCTGGAAAAGTAATGGATAAAGTTTTGCTGCTGTATAAAATGGATGTAAAAATTGTATGAAAACTCTGTGCAATATATTTAATAGATAGTTTGTACCAGACTCATGAACTTGGATAGTGATGGAAGCCTAATGAGCCAGCAGTTATATGAACCATCTTTCAATCTCATCAAATCTTTAGGCAGTGATTCCCAATCTCTTATGGCTCATTGTCCCCTTCCTCTGTTTATCATTCCAGCGGTATTTATAGTGTTAGTTTGATTATTAGATTCCAAATTCCATCATGTTCAAACAATTCATGCTCAACAAAGTGAAAACACCCTGTGAAATAACCTTATCAATCAATGAAACTAGGAGGAATGGGAATGATTCTTGTAAATTGAAAGCATTGTTGTCCCCTCCAACTGCTCTGAGGCCCCCATTTGGGAGTCGATGCTTTATAATAAAAGCCATCACTTGCTCCACTATAGGCCACTGATACGAGCAGTTATCATTATTTATTAGAAGGCATGGAATCTAAACGGTTCAACATTTCAAATTTTTTGCACTCTGGTTGCGTGGTAATTTTTTCGTCAAATTTGAAATGTAACAATGTTGTTCTATTAGGAGGATTTGTTCTATAGCGAAGATTGACCATTATATTTGTGATTTGCTTTTTAATATAATATTAATTAGAATATAAACTACACAGTTATATGGCTTTGATTTTAAAGTACAGTGTTCAATAAATACTGTATTGGCTATGTGGTACGGATATTGAAGTACAGGGTTCAATAAATAATGGGATGGGAACCACCGTCATTGTTGACTCTTGTCCTTTTATTTCTTGCACCTACAATAAATGCAAACCATGATTATAAGGGCTGCCACAGCTATGCTTGACACAATCACTCTACTCCAAATGTAAGGAGCAACATTGCAGGCTTGGGTTTTGCACGCTGTGTCAGTTTCCTTTGTAGAAGACATATCATTACTCTTTGTGTGGTTTTTAACATCATGACTAATTCCACTAGGTGTCATTGTCTGTGTTTTCAGGGATGGTGGAGCTTTCTTCGTTTGATTGTACACCTTTGTTGTTGGTGTTGACGTCGAAGTAGAAACATTACGATTTTGCTCTTTAATGGGGATTTGTTCGTCAGTGATGTTCTTTCCTTTTGGTGATTGTGTGGTCTGCCTCGCTTTGATTCTGAGAATAATATTTTATGTTTAGTGTTGAAGAGCTTCAAAATGGATAGAATCATAATTATCATGGTCGAGAGACATGGGTTCGAATCCAACTGAAGATTCATATTCAAGATGAGCATTAATGGACTTTTCGCTGTTGGTATGTACAAGCTATTATTTCATTATATTACTTGCGAGTTGTTTAATCGGGCTACTTATGTGGCCTACAGATCCCACACCTCACCTAAGGTATATTAAATTGGGTAGGCAATTTTGAAAAGATTCTGTTTCTTTCAAAGATACTCCTGAAGTATGTGAACCAAGATGGCGGACATCGGAACGTATTACCGTATTTATTCGCAAATACGCCGAGTTTAAAACTCAAAAAAAAAGTTGCCCAACTAAGGGACCGTCTTATTCTCGCATAACTCAGATAGCACCAAAAAATCTCACAGAATAATACTCCAGCATTAATTCTTAACAATAAAACTGTAATTTCAATCATTTTGAACAACCATTTACGGTAACTGAAAGGTTGAAATAACGTATGAATATGGTGTGATAAATACTGTGCTGTACGTCCATGGGTTAGGCAACAGCTGTGTTTTCCGTTTTTTCCTGAATCAGCAAAACGGAAGGGTCATAAATCAATCACTTTATTTCGTGGTAGCCGTTTTCTTTCTGAAGTGCCGTTATGGGGCAGGTCTTTCTGAAGTGCCGTTATCGGGCACGGAGTGCTTCATTGCACCGGCCAGGTTTTTGTTTTTAGGATTAAGACAAATAACAGCTGGTATACAAAGTCAATTAAATAATCGGCAGACACTTTGGCATACATTATAAAATATATCAGCCCATATATGAAGCTCACACAAATCATGTTTGAGAAGACTTGCGAAAAATAACCAAATTTATTGCCATGTCCGCTCAGGATATCTCACTACCTTAATATAAAATAATGATTGTAAAATATTCTCAATCAAAAATGTCCTCATGTTATACGTTTGGTACTTCAAGTCGGCGCTGATTTAATTCCTTTTATGTTGGCAGTATTTTAGTTGAGCCGCAAAGTGCTGTCTTCCATTACGATAAAACAGAAAATATATTAATCGAAAATTGTTTTAATCAAAATGTGGACAGCGGCGCTAGAATGTATGTGCCATATACAAGAAAGTAGTAAATAGCGATATTTGAATATTAAATTTGAATTGAATATCATTGACTGTAATAGATGTGTGCGCCGTGTTACGATTTGTGGAAACGGCGTATATGCGAATTTTTATAAATTCACTATTTTAAGGCTGTTATTAGGGAGTCGGCTTATTCTCGTGATAGGCGTATAGTCGAGAAAATACGGTATGTGTACCAGGTTAGGGTTAGACCATAATTTTATTACATTTTCCTTATTTTAATTCTATCATGAGTTCGGGGACTAGCCAAGTAGTAGTTCTCCCGTTGTATTTGTACATGAATTATGGCCTAACCCTAACCTGGTAACCCTAACACATACTAGATTTCGGTGCCCGCCATATTGGTCCACATACTTCAGGAGTACCCTTTCAAATAATAATGAAAGTAATGATGTACATATCATGAGTTATCAGTGTCTGCTAATATAGTGTATCGTTCGGACAAAATATGTGTTTGAGAGTCGTTAAAAAAAACGCTCCATGGCCTTTATGTGGGTTGATAAGTTTTAGAAATCCTGACGGGGTAGTGACTCATAAAAGCAAGGTCCTGTACTGTAAACTTTACAGATAGAGAGAACGCATTGGCATGTAATGATGAAAAAGTCAAATGGAATGGATTGAAATGCATTAGTGCATTGGTAATTAACTGATGAACAGGGTAAAAAGTAACACAATTTCTCTACCCCAATTTCCTGGGCAGTGATATAGAAAAAAACAGTGCTTCCGTAGTGTTAAGGTTGCCATAATTTTATTCCAATTCCCTTATTTTAGTTCTATTACGAGTTCAGGACTGTCTGTGTTAGGCAAGTAAATATATCCCCTGTCCATATGCTTCAGTCCCTTTACACAACTTAATGTAAAGTAGGCAAACAAAATTAGTTACCTCCATATTGGTATACATACTTCTGGACCGCCGAAAAAAGTGCTAAAAATTGGCCTTGTCTTTTTTTCTGAGTTGGCTTATTAGCCGGAAAAAATATAAAATCATGTGCATAGACAACCACCTTTCATCAGGTGGTGGGTACAGCAATCTAATTATTCTTCCAATTTTCAAATGTTTGACTCACTTGGTACATGTATTAGAATGTTCTGTATCATTATTTTCATATCCTCTTCTGCATTTCTTGCAGTACCTTTCCTCCAACCAGCCCTTAGCAATTTCAAAGTAGCCTTTCTGACAATATTCTCCAACTTTTAAAGGTCCATAGATATGCCTTCTAATCTGTTTAGCAGATGAATTGTGCGACAAAAGTAAGACCACTGGCACAAGAAATAATACAGGCAGCTTCATGTCTAGGTTATATTGTGGTACAGTATTCTGAAAATAACTGAATATATAATAATGAATAATCAGTTTTAATGATTTTAGTGGGGTTCATTTGAGTTCATTCAAGTTCAAAGTTATATAACATACCAGAATAGTATGTGGGAAGATGATATATTCTGAAAATCGATTAAGCAAGGCTGAACTGAAAAGGTTCCTGTCAAAGCCGGGGTTCTGAAATTTCTAATTACCAAGTTAGACTGTGAGAACGAGCGGGTTGGGTCGCAGGACGAAAACATGGTTTTCAAGAGTCTTCAAGGTCTAAAAAGTGTTCCAAGCTATGAAAAATTGCTAGGTATTATAGAGAAAAATGGGTGCTCCTGAAGTATGCGAACCAAGATGGCGGACATCGAAACGTAGCATGGGCAACAGGTTAGGGTTAGGCCATAATTTTATTCCAATTTCTCTTATTTTAGTCTTACTATAAGTTCGAAGACTAGGCAAGTGCCTCTCGTAGTTTTTGTATCTAAAATCATGGCCTAACCCTAACCTAGTACACATATTACATTCCGATGTCCGCCATCTTGGTTTGCATACTTCAGGAGCCCCGAAAAATGTTTATTTTGTACATTTCAATAGGGGGTTCAACCCTCAGTTCCCTCTAGGCCAATGTTTCTCAAACTGTGTGCCGTGAGAGATTCTTAAGTGTGCCGTGAAGCATTTTGGAATTTCAGAAAACAAGCTGTTTGTATTACACATAGGCATAGGCATAGGCACATAGGCAGCTGGCAAGCTTGTGAGACTTGAGTATCCATATTTAATTACGCTGATAATATTATATATAGCATTTGCCTTGTCGTTGTATTAAGGGGGATTGTTTCGGCATAAATGTATTGTGATGTCATGATGTTTTTGTAAACATGTCGTCCATCTTCCACCGTGTTTACTTTCAGTTGTTCAGTTGGGTAACAGTAAAGCAGGTTTGAACGAGTTTTGGCTATCTGCTCACAAATTATATTTAATCATCGGCGCAAAGGCCATCAAAATATTCTAGTCATTTTCATCTCCATGGCTCTGTTAACATTTATTTTATGTTCCGACTGAAATTAAAAGCAAAAAAGGGAGCGACGGAACCTCGTTTATATTGTTTCTCAAAACAGGCACACACATCGCATTAGCATTTGCTGCATAATTTGTTGAAGTCCAGCTTTATTTTTTCACGAGTGTGCCGCAAGATTTTTTTTATTTTCTTAGTGCGCCGCGAGCAAAAAAAGTTTGAGAACCACTGCTCTAGGCTATGCCCCTGGAATAAATTCAGTTACATTCTTCTTCACTGTCTTTGTTTTATCCTATTGGCTGTCAGGACTGAATCAAATTGTCTATTTTACTTCACCCCTATTAAACTTCAGCATTCCTTTCAGTCAGCTGATCCATTGTTTCTTTGTGAGGTATACACACCGTGACCCCTTTTGTATTTAAGTTAGAAAATAACAAACACCTAGTGTACTAACGTTTTTTGGTATATTTAAATATATTGTTAGGAAGACAGTTTTCTCAAAGAAATGAACTATTTTTCAATCTATCCATACCCACGGGTGAAACCTCGTGTTCATTTAACCCCTATTGACCTCCAACAAAACCCTGCCATATCCATTTACTCAAAAGCATCCCCTTCAGCTGACTCGTTCTTTATTCGAATAATCCTTTGTTATCTGGTTACTAAATAACTAACCAGTCTACTTTCGCGGTTCACTGACATCGAATGATTGTTTGTTATACGCAAGATTGAGCCCACGTGGTAGCGGTTCACGTATTGATTAATATTCCCCTTTTTTTTTAAAGCCAACAAATTGTTTGTTTGTTTGTGATGATGTGATGTGAGGAGAAAAATATGCAGCACAAAATATTGATTCTGTGTTATTTATTATAGATATTATTTTATGCCTAATATCAAAATGATCTATGTATTTCTAGTTGAAATTATATGGGACAGTATTGCACCATGCTTCGTAATTGTTCACCTGATTTTCTTGCCTCGTGGTTCAGAGTGTATCATGTGACGACAGGGGTATACAGTGTTCACAGCAGTCAATTTGTTTTCGATTAGTCTTTAATTCAGAAAAGTTAGGATAGAATTGTTGAGATTTGAATTGTTATCTATATTTTATTAAATGTTTCAGATATGTAAATCCTAAAAGACATTTTTTCCTCATACTATAAAACTCTCCAGTGGTTCCGCAAATTTCCATCCATCCATTCATCCGAGAGCCCACGAAAAAATCTGGAAATACTTGGTCTAAAGAGACTCTCAAACTCCACTGTATGTAATGAGGTTTCAAGATATAGGGGGGCATGTTGAAATTTAAAAAAGTCATTAAAAGAAGTCAGAGGACAATTGTTGAAAGTCTTCGGGAGAGGGCCATGAATCATGAATCTTTGAGAATCACTGTCCTAAAGACTTATTATTATCTACTCAGTACTTGGTCTTTTTGTTTCTGCCTAAAATTCATAAGTCATTATAATAGTCTAGAAGCATTGTTGAAAAGCAATTTACATGCAATTTATTTTTAGAATTTGTTCAATACAGAAAAAGTATTCGGAATATTTTATGGCAATGGTTTAAAATTCAACTAAATTTCACAATATTTCTACTGTTATAAAGAAAATTTCATGCAAAAAAATATGCAATATACAAAAGCGAGAGGATCAAAATAAAAAATTGTCATTATAATAGGGTTATAAAGTAAAAAAAAACAGTAAAAAACAGTATCATAAGTTCATAAAGCCATATTACAAGTTTCAATCATAGTTATTGAAGGACCATAACGAGATAATGATCGGGGACTGCCGACTTATCGATCTTATTAAAGAAAAAGCGACGAAAGTTAGGGGATCCCCCAAAACAGAAACTGCGTCTTCGAATCCTTTGCTCTGACTCAATAGCGACACCGCACGTTCCATCACTAACCAATTATTAAATCGCTAATTATACGACAAAAATCATCCAAAATCAATAGGCTTCTGGTTCGAGATATGATGAATGCACATTCAAAATTTGGAGCAGATTCAACCTCACTTTTGTGGGATATTGCGAGTGTCTAACAGACAAACAGACAGACAATTACCTGTCAACATACTTACCGATCGAGATCGATAAGTAATAGACAAAAATGGGTACTCATATAGTATGTGAACCAAGATGGCAGACACCGGAATGTAGTATGTGTACCAGGTTTGGGTTAGGCCATAATTTCAGGTACAAATACTACGAGAGTCACTTGGCTAGTCCCCGAAATCGCAATAGAACTAAAATAAGGAAAATTGGAATAAAATTATGGCCTAACCCTAACCTGGTACACATACGACGTTTCGGTGTTCGCCATCATGATTCACATACTACGGGAGCACCAAAAATTATGTAAATTGTGTAAAAAAAGCAAAGCAACATTATTTTATTATTGATCTATAGTTTACTCCTCAGACTTATTTGTATGTTCCCACTGAAAAAATTATTTTAAGTTGATTCGGGGCTGAAAAAGGGTGTCATGAAGATTGAACAAAAAAAAATTAAAAAGGGATCTTGCGCAAATATCTTCAATAATTTGGCAACTGGATGAAATAATTACCTCAACTTGACATGACTATTGAATATTTACAAAAGATCAGTAAATTGGAATTTAAAATTTGTTGAAATCGAGAGAAAAAGGAATCCTGAAATCTAATAAAAAATGACTATAATACAAAATTGCATGTATTTCAATATGCAAAATTCGGCGCTCCCGAAGTATGCGAACCAAGATGGCGGACATCGGAATGTAACATGGGTAACAGGTTAGGGTTAGGCGATAATTTTTTTTCAATTTTCCTTATTTTAGTCCTATTATCAGTGCGAAGACTAGCCAAGATCCTCCCGTAGTATTTATACCTAAAATTATGGTCTAACTCTAACCTAGTACACATATTACATTCTGATGTCCGCCATCTTAGTTCGCATACTTCGGGAGCCCCCAAAATTCTTCTATGCCCTATGACAATCCCTGTAATTTTTAATTTTTATTTTTTTTATACATCTGTTATATAATTTTATATATTCTTGCGCTTTTTCAATTTTATTTGTGTAACATCACAACTAGTTAGTACTGATCAAAATGAGCCTAAATATATAAATGCCAAGTACAATTTAGCTACCCGATAAAAAGTTAATTAGGCAGCTAATACAGAGGTGGGTGTTTCTCAAAACAAATCAAAAAAGAGTACAATATTGTTAAAAGGTAATTTTAGTTCAAATATCTAATCTATGAAAATGGAACGACAATATTTTTGGAATGGTGAACAGTGGGCCATGAGTACTAGAAGCCCACAAAAAAGGGTGTCATGGGCCATAAAATGTTGGGAATTCTGGACAATTTTTTTTTTTAAATTGTGTTTCTGCTTGTTGCAAATTTGGTGCTAGTGTTTCTGTCATGCTGTCATTTGCTTCTGTATATCCCGAAGTTGCGGGAGAAATCAAGGAAGCTGTTTCACCTGTGCTTTCTACATCTTGTAATACATTTTGCTTAGGGACGTCATCTCTTAGAGCTGTGTCTTGATTCGGGTGTAGTAATTGATCGCCATTCCTTGCATTAGCTGCTGATGTTGGTGATGAAACCTTTTTTTTATCCTTTACTATTTTTTTGTATTTACGGTATTTACAGAAAAAATACACTGCTAGAATTGCTAATATCACACAGATAATCGCACTGACAACATTCCAAGCAATGGTTGTGTCATCCAACTTTGTATCTGGAACCAGTGATATACCAATTTCGCCTCTCATTGTGTTAGCTTGTTCTGTGGTGATTTCTTCTAGAAATGGAACTGCTGTGGTTGTAGGACCTGGAAAAAATTGTAATGTTAAATATCATGGGTTTTTAAGTTACAGTAGCGCATGCCATTTTAGTGCTTGCTTGTAACTTTTCTACTGTGATGCAAACATAGTAAAATTCGTCATTCTCACTGCTGGGCCAATGCACGACTTACTTGCATAAATGGCTGTCAAAACCTAATCATAAATATGACTGCTGTAACAGGGATCCTTAAATATTTTTATTGAAGATTTGTATGCAAAACTACTGTGGTCTGCTCTTTCCTGAATATTTAAATTCCACAGTAATCCTAAATCCTTCTCATTTGTTTGCATAAATGGCTGTCAAATTTTTTTTTCACAAAGTGTACATATTGATCTCTTTACTGAAACTGTCGCTTCGGTGTTTTTAGCCATTATGCCGTATTCTCATTGGTCATTTGAAGTGTGGGAAATAAGTTTGAAGCACAGTCATCCCAGTATGCCGATTACCAGGAAAAAATTCAAATGAGAACACAAGTTAACGGTATTTATTGGCTCACCATCTGTTTGATTGGTAGCAGTTGTCCCATCTGTAGCTGGTATTTGTATTTCACTAGCCGTGGTAAAGGTCTGTTGGGTCGTTGTATATATCTCAGTTTGACCTGTAGTTGTTTGGTCTGCAATGCTGTAATAAATTGAGAATTGAATAAAAAAGATATACTTTGATAGTGTACTAATGACAGAGGTTGCATTCTGCTATTGTCCCACCATTAACTTTCGGGTAAGATTTACTTATTTATCGGAGATGCAGTGGTGAGCGTATTTCTAACGCTTAATTTGATGCGTTACACCGCCAAGCCTAATCTGTTTTCTTGACTACCGCTTCTCTTTAGAATAAGATACCAGGTGGGCCAATAACCTAACCCTGAATTAGTCAGTGGGCCACATGTGGCTAAAGCATTTTGTGTAGCCGACCCTGCTTTTGTAAAAGTTGTAAAAATTCATTATATGTATAATTTTGTTTTATTTCTAAACTTTATTTGAAATACCTAAACTATAAATAATAAAAATATTATTAATGTTTTTTCATCTCTGATTCAACAATATCAGCCACCATTAAATTTGACACTATCATAGCTATTGGGTATAGTCAATGGACGCCATCTTGTGCCATATTTGGAAAAGGCGAAACAATGGAGTCTTATGGGAAATTTTCGTCGTGTTGTTGTACCGAATCAAATAAGTCAGCTGTTGTAGGGGCTAGAATAAAGCCGAAGGGCGGGTTTTCAACTTTAAGCTATATGCTACCTACCGGTAAATATATAACGCAATTAAGAATAAAAAACTAACTAATGCGTTAAATTTGACCACAAACACAACTCAAAACCATTTTTGGACATTATAGTGATACGCCGATTTGACGCTGTATTATGCCTCCGCAACAATCCTACAATGTCATTTGTTGTTCTCGCACAGCTTGGAGCAGTAGGGCATTAGGAAGCTTGACAGACAAAAAATGTTAATCGAAAATAGAAATGGCCATAGAAGCGAAATTGAATTGGCCGATAATTTCGACGAATAAATACAACTTTGCAAAATGTGTGACGTCATAAGGAACTCCATTGTCAAATGGTTTATTATGACGATTAGAATGGCCAACTTACTTCGGAAGCAACTCGGAACCGGTATACTTAACTTCAAGGACAATTTAATGTACTATAAATGTAATTTGGGAAACATTAAATAATATCAGCATGTTCGGCTAAGATTCTCCTTCAAAACGCGACCTTCAAATTTTTTCTACGTAAACTATTAGTGAAAGTAATAGGTATGTTTCGATAATTGTGTGCGAACTTCTCATAAGGCGCCGTGTTAAATTGCCGAGAACAATAGGCACAAGATGGCGTCCATTGTCTGGGCGTTGCCTCTCTTGTATTATATATACGCTTTGGGTATAGTAACTTTGATGGCATATGTAGTCCTATGAAAAAAGATTTTCTCAGTGAGGCCCTTGAAAAAAACTTTGCCCACCCCTAACCTATCTTGTAATAGTTGTGTGAACTACCCTATGACGAAGAAAACTCCACCAATCCTCTTGCACATAATTATCCCCCACAGGATTCGATCCTGCGTACCCAAGCAATGTAATTGGTGGTGCGGTGAAGAGTGTATATCTAACCCTAACACAATGCGCCATGTCGCCGATCTAATCAAGATCTAATATTTTTGATCAACTAAATAAAACTCACTTTGAGCAACTATTTCTGTGTTCTGGGTACGGGTTCTCTTGCCCATCACGGCATGGCTTGCAGCAGTACTCCTCTTTGGGAAAGTCAAATTTGACAGTGTTACAATTTGTCCCAGTTGTTTTGAAGTAATTGACATTACAAATGTCATCTTCAGAAACTGGTCCATATTCTGCCTGATGTTGCTCAGTCATGCTTTTTGCTTGTACTTTAATCCTTTCAACTCTTCAAGTGTGTTGAATAGTAGAATATTATAGTTAAGAGAGTAATACTGAAACTAGAATCAAATATTAAGGTATGATTATGAAAAGTTTGCTCAAAGAGTTTTCAGCTAGAAGACATAAGCATATTAAAATAAATGCAAGTGACTACTGATCATTTAGGAGCTTTAAATTGGTTTACCCTCCTAAAAAACAACAAAAATTCATTTTCGGTTTGGATCATTTTTTGCTAACTTATAACATACTACCAAATCCATTGTAATTACAAGTACAATCCAAACCTGTTGTTTATGCATAGAGCTTTTTTCTTTATAATATGTCACCTCACACTTAACGAAACATTTTGTCATAATTCCATATTTTGCTTTGTTAACTGCACATCGAACAATAATCACCATATCTTATCTATCTATAAATTTGTTAGCTCAAAAGAGAAAAATTCTAACTAAAATCTAGACAACAGTGAGCTACTTAGATACTGTGAATTTCAGTTTATAAATTTTAAACAATTTTATAAGTAGGTGCTGGGAAACTGTCCTGAAAAACCATACGCAGGTTACGCTTTCTAGTCATGTTTTGTGAATACTTTTAAGTTGCCGTTTTTCTTATGTGTTCTCTCATTTTTAAACAAACAGTTGTAGCTTATGAGAAGAGCTCTGTTTATGCCGGTATAAACCAGTTGAGGTGAAAAGTGAGTGTATGATGCGTATGATGATCTAATGATGAACTAAAATCTGGACAACAGTGAGCTACTTAGATACTGTGAACTTCAGTTTATAAATTTTAAACAATTTTATAAGTACCTAGGTGCTGGAAAACTATCCTGAAAAACCATACGCAGGTTACGCTTTCTAGTCATGTTTTGTGGATACTTTTAAGTTGCTGTTTTTCTTATGTGTTCTCTCATTTTTAAACAAACAGTTGTAGCTTATGAGAAGAGTTCTGTTTATGCCGGTGTAAACCAGTTGAGGTGAAAAGTGAGTGTATGATGCGTATGATGATCTAATGATGAACTAAAATCTGGACAACAGTGAGCTACTTAGATACTGTGAACTTCAGTTTATAAATTTTAAACAATTTTATAAGTACCTAGGTGCTGGAAAACTATCCTGAAAAACCATACGCAGGTTACGCTTTCTAGTCATGTTTTGTGAATACTTTTAAGTTGCTGTTTTTCTTATGTGTTCTCTCATTTTTAAACAAACAGTTGTAGCTTATGAGAAGAGCTCTGTTTATGCCGGTATAAACCAGTTGAGGTGAAAAGTGAGTGTATGATGCGTATGATGATCTAATGATGAACTAAAATCTGGACAACAGTGAGCTACTTAGATACTGTGAACTTCAGTTTATAAATTTTAAACAATTTTATAAGTACCTAGGTGCTGGAAAACTATCCTGAAAAACCATACGCAGGTTACGCTTTCTAGTCATGTTTTGTGAATACTTTTAAGTTGCTGTTTTTCTTATGTGTTCTCTCATTTTTAAACAAACAGTTGTAGCTTATGAGAAGAGCTCTGTTTATGCCGGTATAAACCAGTTGAGGTGAAAAGTGAGTGTATGATGCGTATGATGATCACGTCGTATATTCGAGAAAATTCTAAAGCCTGTTTGTTTCAAATTTATTTCATGCCGAGTCATCTGTGAAGCAAAGCGCCTGGGGTGCGCTTACATTGTAACCTAATCCCATGTAACCTTTTTCAACCAGGGTTTGCCAGTCCGGGTTTTCATCTATATCCAAGAGGTATATTAATGTGTAGGCCCATATATATTTGTTAATTATAATCAAACATCCATTAGGTTTGCTACTATTCAACTTTTGTCAGAATTAAGTTTGCTCTTATATATTTTTATAATGTTTTCATTCAAACATTCAAACAATTACATAGGGGTTCTTTGAGCTTCTAGAATGTTTCATTTGGGTTTTAATCCCAACGACCTAATTTGACCTTTTTATTCTGTTTGCAACCCTAAGTGGTTTCTCTTTTTTATTTCACCCCTATGTTGACAAAACAGCTGCTATATCTATTTACCTAATAATGATTTCTTTATTCAGCCGATATTCAGTTTATACAATGCAAACAATTAAACTATTCCACATGGGTTTCTTGAATTGTTGGAATATTTCATTGGGGTTACGAAGATTTTATTGTCATTTACCTGACTCCTAATGCTTAAAGAAACCATGTCTGTTTACTTGAGAATAGCATTTCTTTATTCAGCCGATCTATTCTTTTAAAAAAGTTCTGGGGGCAAGGCCTTTCTTGTTTGCTTAATAAACAACTTTACACAAGCAGTTTACACAAAGTATAAGATTTATGGAAGTCTAAAATAAATTGAATATTCAAATATACAAATTCAAATTTTCTCTTAGAGAAGAGTTCAGATGGGAAAGAGTTCAGATGAGAAGAGTTCAGGGTTGAACTAAAAAAAATATATAGAACATTTCATCTGAAAAATTGTTGATTGCATGCTTGATTAAGTATGTCTTAGTGGGTGTGACGTTCTAGGGCAGGGATGACAAATGCTATATTACAATCAATACCAGAGTGAAAGACATTCAAAGGCATTTAATACATTTCTGAGATTTTATTTATTTTATAATATTCGCCTTTACTTGAAAAATATTAACAAGTCAGCAGCAAGTCGTTGCGCAAGCTGTTTTGTAAACACAATCCAGACATTTACACATGAGAATAATGAATGAAGTAGCCAAATAATTTGAAGAATTTTCTGAATGTGACAATGATCGTGTGGCCTCGAAGTCGTCCTTACATATCAGTGGTGGTTGGTGCAGAGCCCTTCTGAGTAAAATATGTGTAGATCTATGAATAAAAAAAACTTTAGGTATTTTTACTGTCACTTGAGTATTAGTCTTTATCAAGTCCCAAGCTTGATTTCACTTTGCACGGATTAGGGGTATTTGTTTACAGTGTAAACAAAAGCCAGACAGTGAATATCTGAGGAATGTCTTCCAGGGATGATGCAAGACCCTATGGGCATGACTGATCAGTCAAGATTGGCCTTTGCCGCTTTAAACCGGCTTTCAAACCGGGGGCTTTCAGTGATATAGTATAGATTTTAGTTGAGCTCAATCCTTTGGCTAACCAGCTCTAAATTGTAATACAGGTTGTTTATAAGGGACTAATAGATTTATCAGTGTTTGTTCAAGTTTTTAATTCATTAAATACACCTGGAAATAACAAACTGTATAGCCTGTAGTATTTATATATATATCTTTAGAATTTTAAATTTTGTTGTGAGGTTAGTTCTTAATATATCTTAACCAGGTTTGTTTTATTTTCTTTCAGTGTTATCTATCAAGTTTTTTGAGTTCATTTAAAACATCAGTACATGTTGGAAATGGGTTAGTTACCCAGTCATTATATGTTTCAGATGCATGGGCTTGATTGACCAGCGGTTACGTGAACCATCTTTCTGTAATAGTTCTCAATGACTGGAAATATCATATGATATTATAAGCTCAGTTTTTCTGATAACTATTTAGTGCATAGAATAGAGGCGTATCCAGGAATTTTCAAAAGGGGAATTTTTTAATTGGCAAGGATATAGCATTTACATATTTATTTCGGGGGAGAATAAAGCCGATAAAACAGCCTAATCATATGTCGAACCACGGCCTCCTGTCCGTTTATCAGTCTGTGTTGGGTATGAGATTAGTTAGCCAGTTATTTGTTTCAGATACATCGACTTTATGATAGGGGAAGTCGTAATCGACCAGCGGTTACATGAACCATCTTTCTATAATAGTTCTCAACGACTAGAAATAAAATGTGATATTACAGCCACTCTGATCAGCTCATCAAAGCCAGGAATTTTCAAAAAAATTTTCTAAAATTTTTTAATGGCAAGTTATGCCGTAATGACTGGCAGGTTCGGCCGCGTACCAAAAAAACGAGGGTTTTCAAGAGTCTTGAGGGTCTAAAAAGCATTTCAGGCTACTAAACATTGCTATTATGTATCCTACAATCAATTTTTTTTTAATTTCAAAGAAGCCCTTAAAACTCCTCTCTGGGTATGCCCAGCTACAAAATAAAGACTTTTAATTGCAATCATTGGCAATTAGGTAGGTGCCTGTGGCTTAACTTTGGTTAGATCTTTTGTACAAAACCAAAAAACTACCAACACTCAAACTAAGAAAATTAGTAATTACCTTAGGAATGCAAATTCAAAATTTCTATGCTATGCCTTTGTAAATTGTATGATTCAATGTTCATTCAAAACAAGGGTTTTCAAAGCGCGGCCCGCGGGCCAAATCCGGCCCGCAAAACGATTTAAAGTGGCCTGCCGAGCTTAAGTGAAATGGTGTTAGACAGATTTCGTTTCTACCTGCTGCGATTTTAAACACCGCCAGTTGCCATGTCATTATAACAGTATAAGCACGTGTTTATCGTAACAATTCAATTATACTGGTATCTCAATTATACGCACAGGATTACCTAGGGCAGAAATTTAGTTATCAGTCACATAAGAAAGCTTAGAGATATCAAAAAGCAAACCAAAACTATGTCAGCGTTTGTATTTCTGCATTGAAAAGAATCAAACTTCAGCGATTTGTCTTCTTTGCCAATGAACTATTCCACTTATGACGAAATAAAGCATTAAGCGCCATTATGAGTCAACAAACATTTTTCAAAAAATGTCAAATGAAAGTAAATCGACAGAACCCCATAGAAACCGTCGCGAACTTTAGGTCGCTACACTCTTCTGGCCCGCGAACTTTGTTCAGATTCTAATTTTGGCCCGCGCCCAATAAAGTTTGGGAACCCCTGATTTAAAATATAAGTCAACTATCGAATGATTTACATCAGGGTGGTCCAAACTGCGGCGAGCGGGCGGCCTCCGGACACATTCAGTGCGGCCCGCGGAACAATTTTAGCGTTCACTAAATCATTGGCAGATATTTATTGGCTGAAAATGTTTGAGTTATTTTTAAACTATTTCAACTGGGAATAGTCCTTTTCGTAATCTCGATGTCGGTGTTAATGTTTGTTAAAATCACAGGATTTTAATGCTGTATCTATACACCAGGAA